CGTTCGTTCATTCATTCATTCACTCATTTAAAGATCAAGCAGGGAAGGGGCAGAGAGACAGAGATGGGACAGAGGATCCAAAGCAGGCTTTGTGCTGACAGCAGACAGCCCAATGGGGGCCTTAAACTCACAAACTGTGAGATCATGACCTCAGCTGAAGTCAGTGCTTAACTGACTGAGCCACCCAGGTGTCCCTACCCCCTTTTTCCCCCTTTTTAATTATTTGTGAGTACAGTCCTATATGAATGTGTTCAAATTTGCAACACTTTAATCCACTAGAAGCTTAAGGTTGTAGGCTGTAATGCTTTTCTCCTATTTATCTTCCCCCTTTCCATCCCTTTTCTCTGCAGGCCCTGGTTCCTACACCTTTTTCACTCAAATCTTCTTGTCCCCTCTCCCCCATTCTTCTGTTTTTGGAAAAGGACGGAAAAAATAAAGGGGAAGACTGAAGCAAATCCTCTGGGAAAAGTAGGTCAAACTGGTAGTAGATTTATCAAATCTTAGCACGTTCTAAATGTAGGACATCCTGATCAATAAAAGGAAGAGAAAATCTTCATGTATTAACATTTTTTCCCCTTACTTAAAACCCCTACATACCTACTCATTTTAAGTTAGCACAAATAAAGAATACAGGGAAATTTAAGGTAAACCACAAAATTGAGGTGAATAAATGATTTTGTTGTATTTATACATTATATTTTCTCCTTCTATTTTGGATTTTAAGGACTAGTGGACTTGTTTTCCTTTTGCCAAGAGTAAATGCAGTGTTTAACTCTTTCTGGACATCGTTTCTTTGTTTTTATTTATTTATTATTTATTATTTTTTAAAAATTTTTTAATGTTTTATTTATTTCGGAGAAAGAGAGAGAGACAGCGTGAGCAGGGGAGGATCAGAGAGAGAGGGAGATACAGAATCTGAAACAGCCTCCAGGCTCTGAGCTAGCTGTCAGCACAGTCCCAACGTGGGGCTCGAACCCACGAACCGTGAGATCATGACCTGAGCCAAAGTCGGAACGCTCAACCGACTGAGCCACTGAGGTGCTCCTGGACATCATTTCTTTAGACTAACTTCTTCAGAGCTATGTGACTATACTTTGTTTATCTCTTGTCTTCTTAAGTTCTTTTGGCTGAAAAGACTCTAGAATGCCTTTTAACTGAACCTGTGTTAGTTTTGTCTTCCCCAAAAGGCAGCATCTTGAGGTCCTTGAGTCTGAAGTATTGTTTTGCTACTTGTGGTGGTGGTGTTTGTTTTTTTTCCCATGTTGGAAGGCTTTCCTATTTTTTCCTTTGCATATTACATTTGACCTGAACTTCAAGATTTGGCTTAAGTTCATTTCCTCTATTAAGGTTTTAAAAAACGTTTTCCAGTTACTTCCCAATTGTGCACTCTACAACCACGCAGTTGTGGTTGGCTGAATAATGGCCCCCGCCCCTAAACGTGTCCACTTTCAGTACCCCAGAATCAGTGAATGTTACCTTACACGGCAAACAGAACTTTGCAGATGTGGTTAAATTAAGGATTTTGAGATGGAGAAATTACCCTGGGTTATGCAGATGGGCTGAATGTAATCGCAAGGGTCCTTGTACGAGGGAGGCCAGAGGATCAGAGTAGGAGAGAAAATAATGCTGCAATGGTAATAGAAGGAGAAACGGCAATGGGCTATGTGGCCAGGAGTCACATAATGCAGGCTGTCTCTAGAAGCTGGAAATGGTGAGGAAGCAGATTCTTCTGCTCTTCAGAGCCTCCAGAGTAAGCAGCCCTGTCAACACCTTGAGTTTCGCCCACCGAGACTGATTTTCAACTTCTGACCTCCAGAACTGCCATATAATAAATGTGTGTTGATTTAAGCTACCAAATTTGTGGTGATTTATTATAGCTCAATAGGAAACTAATACGATATCATTATACCTTTTATAATTCTCTCAGTCTGTTTCACATAATTTAGCATTTTATACTGTCATGTTCTCTATTCTACTACATTTAAGTGGTAGAATATAAATTCTTGGCAGATGGGAACCAGAATTTTTACCTCTTTTTAAATGATTTCCTTTATTATTTAATTTCATTTTTAATACAATGCTTTTATTTAATTTTATTTATGTATTTTGAGAGAGAGGGAGAGAGAGAATCCCAAGCAAGCTCTGCATCATCATGGAGTCCAAATCAAGAGCTGGATGCTTTAGCCAACTGAGCCACACAGGCACCCCTATTAATTAATTAAATAATTAATTAATGTCTTATAAAGAGAGCATGAGCCAAGGAGAGGGGCGGGGGTGGGGGGGTAGAGAGAGAGAGAGAGAATCCCAAGCTGACTCCATGATCAGTTCATAGCCTGATGTGGGGCTTGATCCAACGACCCTGGAATCTTGACCTGAGCTGAAATCAGGATTTGGATGCTCAACCAACTGAGTCATCAAGGTGCCCCTTTACCCCTTTACCCTTTACTGGACAGTGCCTAGTCCAGTCTTAGGAACTCAGGTATTTGGAATGGATTGATGTGTGAAAGAGAACAGCCCTTACCAGTAGGGAAATAAAGAAATAAAGGGTATTTTAAAAGACACATGTGACTTAATGAACTGTGTTTAATTCTTTGGTACCACATTCCAACCTTGGGTTTTGAGCTCTGTGTCACATGCAGTGTTAGGTACACAGTTCCTGCCTATGGAGGCTGGAACAACAGTGCATCTTCAACAAGGCACTTGATGCACTGAGCTGAAATCTGCAGGGGAAAGAAGGAAAAGGAGACAGAGAAAAGCAAGATGGATCTGGCAGAAAGTATTCCCTTGTCTATTTGGCTGATACATTTTTTTATCACATTAAAGTGTAGAAAAAGAACATTCATCAAAATTTCTAACATGAATTTTTGCTGCAAGCAAAATAGAAGAGAGGACAAGATGATAAAAATAGGCAGGGTGTGTCAGTCTAATTTCATCCTATTAAATTCAAATAACCAGTATTTTAAAATCCAAGTAGTATGTTTAATACTATGCATTTACCATAAGAGGTAAAGAGCTTACAGTCAACAGCAGAGGACACGGATCTAAAGAGCTTTGATATCTAGTTGAGATAATACTAACAAATACCAGGCAGCTTATAAAACGCCATCCTGTGTGATTCAGACTTTGTAGATTATAGGTATTTGGAATTTGGCTCTGGAGAATCAATACTTCATTCATTCAGCAAATATTTATTGAGAGCCCATTATGGTTCTCTGTGAATAAGAGTTTCTGTTTGGAGTTTAAAATCCAATAAAGGAAATCAAGGGACATAACTAATACAAGAATGGATTAAGTGCTAAATAGCAGGAGGATGCTTTGTAGTTGAGAAAAGGTTATTAGTATAATTTCTGGAAGTTGAGGGGGAGGGTGGGATTGTGAATCACTTTAAAGGTATTATTTGGGTCAAGCACTGAAAGATGAATAGGACTTTGAAAATAATAGAATATTCAGAAGCATGAGCAAGAATCAAAGGGCATAGTTTTAGTAGCATGCTGGGATGCAACAAAGGATGTTTGAAGGGTAGTGCATTACTTTATTGCCATGGTAACAAATTACAACAAACTGAAAACATTACAAATTTATCTTTTTTTTTTTAATATTTTTTATTTATTTCTAGGAGAGAGAGAGAGACAGCGTGAGCAGGGGAGGGTCAGAGAGAGAGGGAGTCACAGACTGAAACAGGCTCCAGGCTCTGAGCTGGCAGTCAGCACAGAGCCCGAGGCGGGGCTTGAACCCACGAAACGCGAGATCATGACCTAAGCGAAAGTTGGATGCTTAACCGACTAAGCCACCCAGGCGCCCCTACAAATTTATCTTCTTATAGTTCTGTAGGTCAGAAGTCTAACACAGGCCTCACTGGGATAAAATTAAGGTGTCAGTAGGGCTGAGTTCCATTCTAGAGGCTCTAGGGGTGAATCCACTTTCTTGTTTTTTCCACCTTCCAGAGGTCACCACAGACCTGGCCAGTGGTTCTCCTCCTCTGTACTCAAAGCCTTTCTAGCCATTCTTTGTAGTCATATCTCCCTCCCTACTCTCCTCTTCTGCCTCCCTTTTCCAGTTTTGAAGGCATTTGACTAATTGATTGCATCTGGCCCACTTAATAATTCAGGAAAATCTATTTTAGAGTCAAGTGACTAGCAACCTTAAGTATTCTGCGGGTGAAATGTAACATATTCACAGGTTCTGGGGATCAAGACCCTGGACATATTTTTTTTCCTTTTTTTTAGGGGGGTACTTTATTCTGCTTACCACAGACAGTAAGGAGCTAGCTAATCTTGAGAGGAAAGGAGGCCAAAAGGGTGCGAATGCACTGATATAGGGCAATGGAGAGCAGGTCCATGTTTCTGAGGCTTGACATAAATCCTCACCGTTTTGAAGACAGCTTTGGCTGCCCTATAAAACACTAAACAGGCAATTTTGGAGTGCAACATTAGGAAGCCATTATTTCACTCAAGGTGAGAGTGTCTAAGGGAGGGAATAACTGATGTTTTTATTTGGTCTGAGGCCACATTTGCCCATTTCTTTAAACACTTTTTTAATGTTTATTTTTGAGAGACAGAGAGAGAGACAGAGACAGAGAGACAGAGACAGAGACACGGAGCGCAAGCGGGGGAGGGGTAGAGAGACGGAGACACAGAATCCGAAGCAGGCTCCAGGCTCTTGAGCTGTCAGCATAGCTGACAGGGGCTTGAACTCAAGAAAGGTCAGATCCTGACCTGAGCCCGACCTGAGTCCGACACTTAACCAACTGAAGCCACCCAGACGCCCCTGCATCTGCCCATTTCTAAAATTTTCATCAAAATCACGACAGAAAACCTCCCACAGATTGCTGCATGGGCAGTTTCCGGTAATGTGGCTGAATTTGTCCAGTAGATACTGCAACCCAGGCCTTGAAGACCGGAATCCTGGCAAATCCCCAGTTAGCAAGGCTGAACCTCAAAGAGCTAAACACTAGTGTGTTTTTTTTTATTTTTTAAATAGTCCAAACCGAAAAGAAAGCAGGCAGTCCTTGTTCTTAAGGTGTTTCCTTAATAGGGACAAGAAACTGAAAAGCTGTGCCTGGCTTCCGTCAACAAAGCCGGACTCTGCATGGTCACGTTCAACAAACTCGGGTCCCACCAGAGAGCGCCCTCTCCTCCACCCTCTCCCGGACAAGCTGTCGAAGGAAGTCCCGCACAGCTGCCTCTGCTGACGCCACGCCACTCCGCCTTCCATGACGTCGGCGCGGAGTCCCAGGAGCGCGGGGGTGTCGCGGTCCAGACGGTGGAGGCGGGCCGGCGGTCACGTCGTTTTCCGCTTCCGTCATTTCCGGGTGTGACCGCCGCTTCTGTCCGGCTGGGCGCTGGACGCGTAGGGTGCCCCCTTACTGCCTCTGACCGTTTGCACAACTGCCCCTTCCCTGTTCCCAGCGGGAAGGACATGAGTGTTCCTAGGCCGACGTCCCCGGACGGGGTCCTGGCAGGGCCACCCCAGGGCCTGGGGGCCGGGGAGCAGACGCCGGGTACGTGCTATGGGGCGGGGCGGGGCCGGGACCCGGGCCGTTCCGCGGGACCCAGCAGCTTGGCCCCGAGGCTGTGGCCCCGCGCGGAAGTGGGGGACCGCGGCGACCCCGTGCCCAGCAGAATTAGTGGGGAACGAAGTCTGGTGGGGAGGCGGCGTTTGGGTGGCGACTGATGGTGAGGTCATTCTGCGACTGTGCGTTGTTGACTCCAGCACATTGTTCGCTATTATACGTTGGTGGTTGAAGATGAATTTGTCAGAAAGATGATCGATTTGTAATTCAGGGAATTGATACATTCGGAATTGATGTATTCAAGTATTTTGACCACTCACTCATGAAATGCTCTTTTACTTATTGACGTTCCTCCAGCAGTTATTTCAACCCGAGGTCCAAGAGCTATTTAAACCCTAATATTCCTAAGACGTCCATTGAATGCAATGAATTGACTTGCTAGGCAGCCTGAATGGTACTATTTTTATACCATCTGTGGGAGGATTGAGAAAACAGCCCAAGAAAATAGTTTCGGGGTCGTCTGGTTCATGTGAGGAGCCCCACATGAGAAAAGCTGCAGGACTTTACATGTATTGTTTCTACCTCCTGTTTTAGGAATATAGGGGTTACTTAAAAATAGTGCTTTCAGCCCTTTTTTGCTCATGCTTAAACTTTGCACTTGCATAAACTGCTACTATAAATACGACTTCTTTGTATATGTGCAGCTTGGGTCCTTCTCCGCTTGCCTTTCCATCTGCTTGCTGTATACTTTGACATGGTTGTTTTGCACCAACCTCACATACGGCATGTGCATGAATAAAAGTGGATGTCTGATTCCGTTAGTACCAAGTCACCTTCACTTGGAACTTTGACAGTTACTCTTGATTTCCTTCTCACTTGCCTCCTACTTCTGTTTTGGTCTAGGGAATTCCACTGTGCAATTGCCATCTCCTCTCTGTAGTTTCACTCTTCCAAGAACAGTTGTAAGGGTACCCACCCCCAGTGTCTTACTCTTCCACTGCATGTGTCCCACTGTTGTCATATCCCTGCCCCAAGATAAAGCTCCAGTCATGTCATTTTCTCGCTGAGAAACCTTGAAATGGCTCCTTACTACTTACTACCCCAAAGGGCAGACCCCTTAGATTGACCCTCAGGGATCCCCATAGGCTGGCCACAGGGTCTTGTAACTCACTGTTGCATGTGTCCTATATTCCAGACCCCCCCAAACTACCTTGTCTTTCCAGAGCAATCCTGTAGTCCCCCCTTTCCTTATGCTACCTTTTTTTTTTTTTTTTTTAAACCCGTATCTTATTCCTTCTACTCCTTTAGAATTCTTACGTATTTGGAAATAGTGGCCCTCAAAGATTGTTCTGGCAGTGTAGATTGGTGCCATCTCTTAGGAAGGCAGTTTTGCAGTCTGTTTAAGAAATGCATAAGCTCTGTCCCATGATTCTGCTTTTAAGAATTTATCCTACAGAAACATTGAGGTGGATATGCAAAGACAAGCCAGGAAGTGCATGGCAACATTATTTGAAAGAGCAAAGTGAAAATAACCTAAATACCTATCCTTAGCTATCTTGGTCTCTGTGGGCTGCTACAACAAAGTACCACAGGCCAGCTGGCTTAAACAACAGACATATTCCTCAAAGTTCTGGAGTTCTGCAAAGTCCAGGATCTGTGTGCGGGCCGATTAGTTTCCTGGTAAAAGCCCTCTTCTGATCTTGCAGATAGCTGCCTTCTCCCCTTGTCCATACCTCACATGGTGGAGGGAGAGAGTTCTGGTTTCTCCAGGGATAACCCCATCGTGGGGCCTCACCTTCATGACTTCATCTAAACCGCTTTTCTTCCCAAGGGCCCCACCTCCAAATACCTTTATGTTGGAGGTTGGGGCTTCAACAAAATAATATAGGAGGGACACATTCAGTCCATAGCAGGGAACTAGTTAAACAAAATATGGTAGAATTCTATTCTGTTAAAAAGAAGGTAGTAGATGTATATAAGTTCATATGGAAAGATATCTAAGATGTATATTTAAGAGTTGCAGAACAATATGAGTAATATGATTAAAACAGGGTTTATGCATGGGTATACAATGGTAATTTTTTTGAAGGCTGTATTAGAAAGTACAGAGTGACTGGATTAAGGGAGTGAGAAAGAATTTTTTTTTTTTTAAGATTTTATTTACTTTTAAGTAATCTCTGCACCCACTGTGGGGCTTAAACTTGCAACCCCGAGATCAAAAGTCTCATGCTCTACTGACTGAGCCAGCCAGTGTATGCTGAGAAAGTATTTTTACTATCAGCTTATACCTCCCCCTTTTGTGTTTTAAGTTTTTACAGTGAGTAATACTTTTTCTTAAAGGTTTGTTTTGAGAGAGAGCGTGGGAGAGGGGTGGGGGGGGTGCAGAGGATCCAGACCAAAGCAGGCTCCCTGCCCACCACAGACAGAAGATAGCCCAAGATGGGGCTCAAATTCACAAACCACGAGATCGTGACCCTGAGCCGAAAGTCAGACGCTCAAATGACTGAACCACCCAGGCGCTTCCCCCCTCATTTTTTTCTTTTTCTTATGTTTCCCTCCGAGTTCCCATACAATTTGTCTAATGCCACTTCTCATATATTATGATTATGATTCCCCTGTATCAAGCCCTTTGTGTGTGTGTGTGTGTGTGTGTGTGTGTGTGTGTGTGACTTGATTAATTTATTCTTGTAACTTTGGAAACTAGTACATAATACAGGTGTGCAACTAATGTTTCTTGTATGAGTAGAGTAAGGACCCTTTCTTTTAATCTCCCACAGTAAAGTATCTTGAACTTAATAACTTAATGTATGTAGAAACATGAGTAAATTAGACTCTTCCAATTATTAACCAGAATATTAGGGTAGAGTAGGAGGAGGATTGGGAGTTAAAATGTTTATATATTGTAAGGGGGACGTATTAGTTATTGTTCTTAAAGTTGGGATATCCTTATTTGGGTGTTTCTGTTGTTTATCTGTAATACTTGTTTTTGTATTTCCTTAAAGAGAGTTGCTGTTACTGTAATCAAGCCTTAAGCAATAACATTAATTTTCAGATATTCTTTATTCACTTACCATCTGATGGTACACTGTTGGCAATATCTGTAAATATTCTACTTTTTCTTGTTATATTTTAATTTCATTTGTGGAGTGCTTCAGTTTCTGGTTAGCTCGTCTGTTTGAATATTGCCTTGTGACTTGGAGAATTCCAAAGTTTGTCCATATATTTCTCAGAATCAAAATAAAAACCATAGTATTTTTATATCTATAAAAACTTAAAAAAATTTTTTTAATGTTTACTTATTTTTGAGAGACTGAGAGAGACAGAGCGTGAGCAGGAGAGGGGCAGAGACAGAGGGAGACAGAATCCAAAGCAGGTTCCAGGCTCTGAGCTGTCAGCACAGAGCCCGGTACAGGGCTTGAACCCCTGAATCATGAGATCATGACCTGAGCCAAAGTCAGATGCCCAACCGACTGAGCCACCCAGGCGCTCCTATCTATAAAAACTTACTTGAATATGACAGCATGTTGTTTTCTTCCATCTTGCTAAAATGTAAATCTGTGGTGAAAACTATACTTGGAAGTAAGCTATAAGGAATGTGGCATGATAAAGGTATTTTACATAATGATCTAATTTGATGTTACTGAGTACTACCAGATTATGATTAAATGGAGATGTTTCAGAGTTTAATATTTAAAAATGCTCTTAGAGTACAATTTTAGTCATGTTACCATCTCACTTTTTTTTGTCATCAAAGAAAATTTTTTGTTTTACTGTTTATTTTTGAGAGAGAGAGAAAGACAGAGCATGAATGGGGGAGAGGCAGAGAGAGAGAGGAAGACACAGAATCTGAAGCAGGCTCTAGGCTCTGAGCTGTCAGCACAGAGCCTGACGCAGGGCCCAAACCCATGAACCGTGAGATCATGGCCTGTGAAGTCAGAGTTTCAACCAACCGAACCACCCAGGCACCCCTTTTTTCTCATTTTAAACCAGTGATTCTAAAATCTTAAAAATCACTCATTGAGCCATGTTTAGAAATTGTTTTGTACTTTTCTTATAGGAGTAGTGATTGACGGTTATTCATATTAGACATCTTTTGTACAGGTTTGATCTTTAAGTAGTCTCTCCACTCAACAGGGGGCTCATGTTTGTCTCACAACCCCAAGATAAAGAGTTGCACGCTCCACTGACTGAGCCAGCCAGGCGCCCCCATTTTAGATGATTTTGAATGCCTGACTGCTTATACTGTTATTATTCAAAGGGAGAGTACGAGGCATAGTTCCTGGCACACGTCTAGATTTACATGCAATCATTATATACTATTTTTTATGGTAAATTAAGGTGGGTGCTGAGTCTCAAGAGAAGAGAAGTCCTTTGAAAATCTTCTAACAATGATAGAACAGCCTCCCTTTTACATATAAATAATATATCAAGCTTTATGAAAAGTAAATATCAACTCACATTTTTACTTACATTGAGCTGAAAAACAAATGTTTTAGGCTATGCATTTATATGTACATATATATACATATATATATAATTTCTGCATGCTTTAGAAAAGAAGAATTTATTGCTTTCATACAGTGACTTTTTCCTACTTTTAGGCCTTAGACTTTTTTTTTTTAAGCCTCAGACTCTTAATAATCCATTGAGAACTATACATCCTCTGTCCTGAAAAATACATAAACATTTAGAATATGTCCAGACTTTACCTTATACTAGTAGCTTAAAAACATTTTTTTGAGTGCGCTTATCCTGTTTATTAGAGGACACTCAGACGGTAAAGCTAAAAAGAAGAGGAAGGGGGTGCCTGGGTGGCTCAGTCAGTTAAGTGTCTGATTATTGATTTGGGCTCAGGTCGTGATTTCACGATTGGTGAGATTGAGCCCCATTTTGGGCTCCAAGCTGGCCACACGGAGCCTTGAGATCTCTCTCCCTCTCTCTCTGGCCCCCTCCCACTTGGTGTGCACATTCTCTCTCCCACTCTCTCTAAAAATAAATAAACTTCAGAAAAGAAGAGGAAGGAAGGATGCCTGTAATGTCCTGTGTGTGTGCTCCGAACCCCACTGCCAGCCTCCTCCCTCACTAATACTTCGCTTACCCCTGTGTCCATTTAAAAGACTCTTACATTTGATTTTGTCTTGGGGACAGGTGTAAGTGACACTTCTCCAGATGAAGGGTTACAAGAGGACTTGACTGTAGAAGACAAAGCTGTGGAGCAGCTGGCAGAAGGATTGCTTTCTCACTACCTGCCAGACCTGCAGCGATCGAAACAAGCTCTTCAGGAACTCACGTGAGTGAACAGAAACGCTGGGTGCGCTCGTTTCCCCTTTGGCATAGTCACAACTTACTGCTTAAGTGTATGCTGTATCAAGGTATAATATTTTGTAATATTGTCATTAGTGGTGGCAAATGGGAGCGAAGGAATACTTAGTAATCTAAACGTAAAAAGTGAAATGAATACTCCTAGAGTGTGTGGTCTCTTATAAGAAGTACCCTGGGCGCCTGGGTAGCTCAGTCACTTCAGCATCTGACTTTGGCTCAGGTCATGATCTCCCAGGTTCATGAGTTCAAGTCCCACATCAGGTGAGCTTGAGCCCCGCTTTGGGTGAGCACGATCCCTGCTTTGGGTGAACACGATCCCCGGATGAGCCCTGCTCCTCCCCCCCCCCCCCACACACACACCTTGGGGCATTCTCTATCTGTCCTGTGCTCACTTGTGCTCGCTCTCTCTTAAAAAAAAAAGCACCCTTGCATCTTATCTAGACTCTTTGATTAGTTTAGGTATCTTACCATTATTTTATGAAAATATCGCCTCTTGGGGGTGTTGTAGGGTGCATATACACCTGTTTCTGAGTAGTGTTGCAAAATTGCCTCCGTAAGAGTCACATTTGTTTTCAGTCACTCATTCACATGAGTTGCCAAAAATCTTTAAGTATCTTTTTTTGGGAGGACCCGTTTCATTTCTGGTAGATAGTCTACCAGCTAAATAAAGGATTGGAGGATACACCAAGAGAAGAACAAGATAAGGAAGAATGGAATTAGTAGTATCAGTATGCAAAAATACACACTAACTTTATCAGCTCCCGCTCAAAAATAGCAGCTTGCACTTCTACTGTCGCTGGGGTAGGACCTCACTTGCCTGCCCCAGCTGGCCTATCATTTCTTCCTGTGGGGGTCAGCCTGAAATGGGCTGTGAGCTGCTGCTGCTGCTCTAAGACCTACCCTTTGAAAAGTTACCTTAAAGGCCTGTATTAGGATAAAAGGAGAGGAATGATCAACTCCTAGGTCCCTTTGGTAAATATCAGTAAGTAATGTTATAATCCGTGGGTTTGGAGGTGATAAATGAGTATAAAAGTGGTACTGTGTTCTGTTCTATGTGGTCCACTACTGTAGTTAGGGAGTTGGCAATGCTCTCGGTTTTAGTTCTGATGAGGCTTTTTTATCCAAGTGTGTGGTATGCCTTGTATTTTAAAGCCAGTCAATTCTTGTGGCAAAAAAGTCATAAAGATTCTGTAGGGGAGTTTGGATGAAGTATGAGTGGCTGAAAGAAGGCAAGAAACTCTGCAAGCAAAAGATACCTGGAGCTGTTTTGCTGGGAAGGAAGCTGGGACCCACAGTTTAATTGCAGAGTTTAATTGATGACATTGGCTAAAATTTAGTGTTTTTTAATTGATTCTTTTATTAAAACTTTTTTTAAGTTTATTTATTTTGAGAGCGAGAGAGAGAGTGAGTGGGGAGATGAGAGAGAGAGGGAGAGAGAGAAGAATCCCAAGCAGGCCCTGAGTGTCACCTCGGAGCTTGATATGGGGCTCGAACTCACTAATTGTGAGATTGTGACCTGAGCCAAAATCAAGAGTCGCATGCTTAACTGACTGAGCCACCCAGGCACCCCTAAAAAAATTTTTTTTAATGTTTATTTTGAGAGAGACAGAGATAGCGCACGAGCAGGGGAGGGGCAGAGAGAGAGACACATACACACAGAACTCAGAGCAGGCTACAGGCTCTGAGCTGTCAGCACAGAGCTGAGGCTGACACAGGGCTTGAACTCATGAACCATGAGATCATGACCTGAGCTGAAGTCAGACACTCAACCAACTAAGCTACCCAGGCGCCCCTAAAATTTAATGTTTTAAATAATCCCACTTCCAAGGCACCTAGATGACAACGATGATGATGATGACGATGACAACAATGATAGTAAAATCAGTTACTGTTTATTACTACATGTTCTCCTTGCACCTTATATACCATATCTCAGTCCTGACACCTACTGCTGAAGTATTAATATTATTCCTGTTTATAGTTGAGGAAACCAAGGTTCAGAAAGGTTAAGGAAATTGAAAAAGATTATACAGATAATGGTAGAATTAATAATTGAATATGATGAGTAAGCAGTTATTAGACCTCTTTAGTGTTAAGGAAAGATAAGCAAATTTCAGAGAAAGGAAAAAGGTTTTCTAGCAGCTGGCTCTTTCATCAGTCTCTACAAATCCCACTGCTGATAAAGATTTAGGGGAAAGAGTACTGCACAGAGTGGGACACCTGCGTTCTAGTCCTGACTCTCTTGTCATACAGTTTAATTTTCACGAAGCCCCTTGAAGTTACAGAAACAGGCCCACAGAGGTGAAGAAGGTTGTGGTAGATACAAGTTAAGTTTACTTTGTAACTAATAATGGGTAGGGAAAACCAAGAAAAAAACCAACTTTATGTGTAAGAAAGGTTACGAAAGTTCTTTTGCATGTATTTGTCATTTTAAGAACCTTGGAAAGAAAGAAAACAGAGATTCTGGGATTTAGGCCCTAAAAGTCTCCGGCAAAAAAGTCTCTGGCAAGGTACAATTGTAACTAGCCTTAGTGGAGTTCCTTTGTATAAGCCACACTTGGACTTTCCAAGAAATTAGCTTTTTCTCAGCGGATCATTCCCCAGATACTGCATCGATGCTTCCCAGTCATTCCCAGCCTATTTACTACAGACTGTACAAAACTTTAAGGGAAAGGAAGGCCAGTCATTTCTGCCTGATCCTGCATCTAAATATTCTGTGGAACCTTTTTCTAAAGTGTCTAGACTTATGGACCATGAAAACACTGTACTTATGAGTACTTTTTTTTTTTTTAAATCATTTTTTATTTGAGAGAGAGAGAAAAAGCAAGAGAGAGGGAGAGAGAGACTCTTAAGCAGGCTCCATGCTCAGCATGGAGCCCAGCACAGGGCTTAATCCTATGACCCTGGGATCATGACTTGAGCTGAAATCAAGAGTTGGACACTGACTGAGCCACCCAGGCCCCCCTAATTACTGTTTTATTGTAAAGAATACAGATCCCGCCAAATGAGACCCATAGGGGAGGGTTTGGGAGTATGTCTACCACAGAGCTTCTATGGCTTTTCCTAGTGAAATTAGGGCATGTCACCCTCCTGGCACATTGATATGTTTACCAACCAGGAAACTCTCCTGAGCCTCAGTGTTTAAAGGTTTTATTGGGGCTTCACTCTGTAAGCACAATTGATTGAATCACTGGCCATGTATTTAAACTTACTCTCCAGCCCCCTTCCTCCAACCTCCCATCTCTGGAGAGTAGACTGATACCACAGGGCTCAGAGCCCCAACCCTGTCACCACATGATTGATCTTTTGGGCATGACCAGCCCCATCCTGAAGCTCTAGGGGCCCACTATAAGTCACCTCGTTAGCATAAACTCTGGTGTGCTTGAAGAGGGGTTATGAATAATGAAGATACTTCTATCATTTGGGAAATTACAAGGGTCTTAGGCATGCCAGGGATGTGTGACAAAGATCACAGAATTCATCGTTATACAATAAGTGATTATTCAGACCTTCTGCCGTTTTTTTGTTTTAGTTTATTTATTTATTTTGAGGTGGGGAGAGACAGAGAAAGAGGGGAGAGAATCCCAGGCAAGCTCTGTGCTGTCAGCATAGAGTCCGATGCTGGGCACGACATCACGAACTGAGATCATGCCCTGAGCCGAAATCAAGAGTTGGACACTTAATTGACTGAGCCACCCAGGCACCCCTCTTTTGCCTGTTTTTAAACTGTTTTTTGTTTTTTTTTTTTAATGTTTATTTACTTTTTGGGAGAGAGGGACAGCGCATGCATGCATGAGTTGGGGAGGGGCAGAGACAGGGAGATAGAGGGTAAGAAGCAGGCTCTGGCTATCAGCACAGAGCCTGACTTGGCTTGAACTCACAAACTGTGAGACTATGACCTGAGCCAAAGTCGAATGCTTAACTGACTGATCCACCCAGGTGCCTCAGGTTGTTTATTTTCTTACTTTTGAATTTTAAGTGTTCTTTGTGTACTTTGGTGTAAGGCCTTTTTGTGTCTTAGAAATTTTTTCTCTGAGTGTGTGCCTTGTCTTTTAGTCCTTTTAATAGTTTCTTTTACAGAGAAGAATGTTTTAATTTTAAAAGTCTGATTTACCAATTAAAAAAAATTTTTTTTAATGTTTATGTTTGAGAGAGCAGAAGCTGGGGTGGGGGTGAGAAAGAGGGGCACAGGCTCTGAAGCAGGCTCTGAACTGACAAGCTGAGAGCAGTGAGCCTGATGTGGGGCTCAAACTCAGAAACTATGAGGCCTAATTGGAAGTCGGACACTCAGTGAACTAAACCACCAGGTGCCTCTTAAAGTTTTTTTTAAAAGTTTATTTATTTATTTTGAGAGAGAAAGCAAGAAAGAGAGAGTGAATCCCAAGCAAGCTTTGTGCTGTCAGCTCAAAGCCTGATGTGGGGCTTGATCCCCGTACACCATGAGATTACAACCCGAGCCTAAATCAAGAGTCCAACACCTAACCAGACTGAGCCACTTAATTTTTTTCTCATGGATCATGATTTTGATATTTCATGTAAAAATTAATCACCAAAGCAAGGTTGCCTAATTTTTGCCTGTGTTTTCTTCCAGATGTTTTAGAGTTTTATATTTTATATCTAGACCTATGGTCCGTTTTGAGTTAATTCTTATGAAATTGTAAGGTCTGTGTTTAGGTTAGTTTCTTTGCACGTCAGTGTCCAGTTGTTCACTCACATTTGTTGAAAAGACTATCCTGTCTCCACTGCATTTCCTTTGCTCTTTTGTCAAAGAGGCGTGGACCGTATTTGTGTGGGTCTATTTAAGAGTTTTCTGTGCTGTTGCATTGATCAATATGTCTGTTCTTTTACCAATATCATACTGTTTTGATTCCTGTAGTTTTGTAGTAGATCTTGAAATTGGGTAGTGTAATTCTTCTAGCTTTGTTCTTCTTCATTGATGTGTTGGCTCTTTTCGGTCTTTGCCTTTCTGTGTGAATTTTAGAATCAGTTTGTTGATATCTCCAAAATAACTTGGTGGTATTTAAATTGAGATTACACAGATTCCATAGATGAAGTTGGGAAGAATTGGGAAGGTAATACTGAGTTTCTTAGTCCATGCACTTGCAATATCTATTATCTATTACTTGGATCTTTTAAAATTTATTTCATTGGAGTTTTATTGTTTTTGCATATAGCTCCTGTACATATTTTGTTAGATTTATATCAGAGTATTTCGTATGAAGGTAGGTATTGGTTTTTCTAATTATTCACTGCTGACTTTTATACATTAACCTGATATCCTCCCAAAAGCTTACTGTACTCACATATTTTGTTGATTCTTTGGGATTTTCCACATAGCAATCATCTGTGAACAAAGACAGTTTTATTTATTTCCTTTTCTTGTCTCATTACATTAGCTAGAACTTCTAGTATGATGTTGAATAGGAATAGAGAGCAGACATCCTTTCCTTACTCCTGATCATAAAGGGAAAGCATTTAGTTTCTCACAAGGATGATGATAGCTGTAGTTTTTTTTTTGTTTTTTTTTTATGTTCTTTATCAAGTTGAGGAAGTTCTTCTCTCTACTTTGTTGAGAGTTTTTAATCATGAACAGGTGTTGGACATTATCAGATGTCTTTTCTGCATCATGTAATAGGACCAAATGATTTTTCTTCTTTAGTCAGTTGAAATGCTGATCACACTGATTGATTTTCAGATGTTGAACCAGCTTTGAATACTTGGAATTAGTCTCATTTGATTGTGGTGTATAATTCTTTTTATATATTGTTGGATTTGTTTTGTTAATATTATGTGGAGGATTTTTTGCATCTCTGTTCATAAAAGATACTGGTCTAGGGGTGCCTGGGTGGTTTAGTCGGTTAAGCATCTGACTCTTGATCTCACCTCAGGTCTTGATCTCAGGGTGGTGAGTTCAGGCCTTGCTTTGAGCTCTGTGTTGTATGTGGAACCTACTTAAAAAAAAAAAAAAGATATTGGTGTGTGGTTTTCCTTTCTTGTAATATCTTTATCTGGATTTGTTTTTAGCATAATGTTGGCCTCATAGAATGAGTTAGGAAGTGCTCCCTCTACTTGAGTTTGCTGGAAACTATTATGGAGAATTGTATAATTGCTTCCTTAAATATTTGGTAGAAATTAAGTATGAATCCATCTGGTCCTGGCATTTTCATTTTTGGAAGGTTATTACTTACTGATTGCATTCCTTTAACAAATGTAGGCCTACTTAGATGATCTGTATCTCCTTGTGTGAGTTTGGGAAGTTTGTATCTTTCAAGGAATTAGTCATTTCCATCCAAGTTATCAGATTTGTGGACAGAGTTTTGGAAGTATTCTTTTATGGTCCTTTTAATGTCCATGGAATCAGTGATCATTTCTCTTCTATAAATCATGTTAGTAATTTGTGTCTTCTCTTTATTTGTTAGTCTGGCCAGAGGTTTATCCATTTTATTGATCTTTTGAACCAACTTTTGGTTTTACTGATTTTTCTTTATTGTTTTCTAGTTGTAACAGTGTTAATGCTTCCCTGCCTATGTGGGATCATTGACTTGCCGGGTTCTCTTCTCACTTGTTCTGTATTTCACTTTCTGTGGTCTCTCGTCAGAGCTGAAGGGACAAACTTGTGCCCTGTGGGGTTTGCCAAACTTTTTGCTGGATGGTGGAGATGTTGTAGCTGCTCTTCATTGTCTTCACTGCTGTTTCTTTTCTTCATCATTATTCTCTGTTTAGCATAGTTTTGCAAGCAAATCATGTCATAGTTTGCCTGTAGTATTCTTAAAATATTTAGAGGCGCCTAGGTGGCTCAGTTAAGTGTCGTAATGTTGGCTCAGGACATGATCAGTTTGTGAGATCAAGTTCTGCATCGGGCCTCTCTCTCTTTCTCCCTTTCTCTCTGTCCCTCCCCAGCTTGTGCATGCAAGCACACACTCTCTCAAAATAAATAAACATTAAAAATTTTTAAAAAATATTGAATTCTGTGGCCCCTCAGTGTTGCGTATCCTGTGAGCCCAGCATTGGTTGATCTGGAGAGGAACATCAGGCTTCTGTTCCTCAGTAAAAGGTTTTTAATCAGAATTTTAATGAGGGACCTTAGAAGTTACCTGGTGTGAGCGTCTCACTTTATAAATAAAGAAATTTAGGCCCAGAAAAAGAAACTAAATTCATAAGATTATACTACTGGTTATTGGTGGGGAATCTTGTGATTCCTTGTCCCATTTTTTCATCTTCTTATTAACCTCTTTTGATTTAGTATAACTTGACGCTGCATTTTTCCCAACTCTAATCTAAAAGGTCATGGCTCCCCAGGGCACCTGAGTGGCTCAGTCGGTTGAGCATCTGACTTCAGCTTAGGTCATGATCTCACGGGTCATGAGTTCGAGCCCAGGCTCGCTGCTGTCAGCATGGAGCCTGCTTTGGATCCTCTGTCCTCCTCTTCCTGCTTCTCCTGCCTCACAGACTCTCAGAAACAACCCTTTACAAAAAAGTTGTTGCTCCCCATTTCCTTTATGGTAATGTTGCAGTTTTAAGATACATAAAACATCAAGTTTTTTGGGCAAGATAGTATAAAAAAGCTTTTTTTTTTTTGGATAATTCAGAGTTGTTAGAAGTAACAAATAATATGATTTTAAATGATTTGATGATTTCAGTTATTACGGCATCATTTATTAGTACTACTCATTTAGGCAAGAATAAAAGACACAGTTATCAGAATGTGAATTTGGAATATTATTTTGAAAAAGATTTTTTTAGACCAAATACGCCTTGGGAGTTAATAAATTTTCAGCTAAATTTTTACTTTTGACATTAACCAAGATGAAATGTGATTCCTCTTTAAAAAAATTTTTTTTAATGTTTATTATTTTTGAAAGAGAGAGACAGTATGAGCAGGGGCAGGGGAGGGGCAGAGAGAGAGAGGGAGACACAATCTGAAGCAGGCTCCAGGCTCCGAGCTGTCAGCACAGAGCCTGATGCAGGGCTTGAACTCACAAACTATGAGATCATGACCTGAGCCAAAGTCAGATACTTAACCGACTGAGCCACCCAGGCGCCCCAAATATGATTCCTTTTTAATGAACGAACCAGCACTTAACAGTATGTACAATTTATTTTGGCTATGTGCTTTTGTTTCAGACAGAACCAAGTTGTATTACTAGACACACTGGAACAAGAGATTTCAAAATTTAAAGAATGTCATTCTATGTTGGATATTAATGCTTTGGTAAGTATGATATAAGTTGACAAACTTAATGACAGCTTAGAAATAGCTAGGTTTTCCTGTGCGACTTTGTACTTAGGTATGTTTAGGATCTTTTCCTCTAATTTTTTTTAACATTTAAAAAGGTTTTATTTATTTATTTTGAGAGAGGGATGGGGGAGAGAATCTGAAGCAGGCTCTCCAGAGAGAGAGAAAGAGAGAGAGAGAGCAGGGGAAGGACAGAGAGAGAGGGAGGAGAGAGAATCCCAAGCAGGCTCTGAACCAGCAGCATGGAGAGCAATGCAAGGCTCGAACCCCTGAACCATGAGATCATGACCTGAGCCTAAACCAGGAGCCAGATGCTTAACCAACTGAGTCACCCAGCCACCCCTTTTCTCTAATTTTTAAATTATAGAATTTGTCTTTTAATGGGAAACCATGATTTACTTTACTAGAACTTCTGTTGTCTTGAATTATCATCTTTCAAATGTCGAGCCTATAATAGAAAACAGAACTTATTTGTGAAAGTCTGGAATAGATGTGTTCATAGTTAAAGACTTCTAAAAGGGAACTAAAAGTAAGGAAATATTGGGGTACTGTTTTTCCCCTTAAGGAAAGTGCATCTTTCCTAATCAGTTACATGGCTTTTTAAAATCAGCCTTTTATTTAACTGTATGGCCTATTCCTAATGCCATCACAAATTAACACTGAAGTGGACCTTTTGGGGGTCCTTAATAGACCCTTTATATCTTTCAGTATATATGACAGTAGTTGAGTTTCATCAGAAGCTTTGTACCTTTTTGATGAGAGGAACTGCTACTCTTTATTTTAAGAAACAGGGAATTAACAAAAATAAGGAACTTGTGGCTACCTTTCTCTTCACCTCAACATGAAGCAGTAGCTTGGTTTGCATGACTTTGTAGACTTTTATGTGAATGTCAGAAAATGAGCTTTCCGTTGGACAAGTGTGTCTCATTATTTTTTCCCTTTGTTACAATCAAAAACAAGTCCATCTTGTCTCGCATTAGGCAGAAACCTGGGGTGGTAAATACAAAGTCCTCTATCGGTTTTCTGACTTGTTGTGAAGGAGGTGGACAAGGCTGTGCTGACCTACTTGTGACTTCCCCACTGAGTTCATATTGCACCAGAACAAATATTTGCTGAGTGAATAAAAGATAAATGAATGAACCAAGCAGATGTAATAGTGTTGCTTCAGTCTGAAGGGGCAGAAACTTAAGTCTTCCTGTGCTTTCCTCTCTCAGCCCAAGTGGTTCGCTCACCATTCAGGAACTGAAAACTATGAGGCCCAGAGAGAGAGGAAGTGGGTCTGGAAGCTCTAGATTCATCAGACTCCGGCTTTACTTGTAGATACACGAAGGCTGCAAATTTCTATCCCGACACTCCCCTCATTCTGTTACCTGGTCTTCTCTGTTAACCTTGGCTCCTGAGAACGAGGTGCTTTTTTCTTTCTCTCCCATCCCTGGCTGAGATGGAAAAGTCTGTACGTACCAGGGCTTGGGAAGGAGAGTGTCCCTACAGAGGTGGTTCTGCTTGGTCTCACTTTAGAAGCCCACGGAACATGACGGATTTGTCCACAGCCCTCCCGGGATTCTCTGACCACAGCCAGGTTTTTCCTGACGGGCGCACACTTCACCTTGGTTGTCTGTGTACCCTGCTCAGGTTCTCCTGTGGAAGGACAGGAGAGTGTTGTACTTTTTCTCAAATGAAACTCCTAGCATTATCAGAGAGTCTTACTAAAATTGTAGGGTTATATTGCATGTTTTTAAAGCACAGTGTTCCCTGTACACAATGTAAATGTCTATTTTATGTTTAGTAACTCTATTTGAACTGAATCAAGTGTTTTCAAATATCTACTAAAGGCTTAAATAAAATTTGAACTTTGGAATTAAAATGTGGAGATACAAGGCTTTAAAAAATGTGGCCAATTTAGGCAGAATGAACAGTAATTTATTATTCATCCATTTTACTGTTTCAGTCCATTTTTTTCCCTTTTTAAAAAACTTAGGCCTATTTTAACTTGACTTTCCATTTTCTTTTCCATGTTTAGTTCACTGAAGCTAAACACTATCATGCTAAGTTGGTGAATATAAGAAAAGAGATGCTGATGCTTCATGAAAAGACATCGAAGTTAAAAGTGAGTTGAAAACTGTTTCACATTCTTTCTAGAAGTGGAGGTTTGATTGTTTTTTCAAATATTCATTTTCCGACTTCTTATGTATCCGTATACAATAACATAATTCATGGCAAATTGTTTTCCTTTAAAACATATTCTTCGGAACCCTACTCTGGGCTTTTCTACTAATAGGTGGGCTGAGGAGCTCATATTTTCATTGTCTTTGGAGTTTTCATTCAGTAAGAGTTTGGAGTAAGAAATTTCAATTTTTTTTTTTTATATTAAGGAGGATAGTAAATTACCCAGAACAAACTTAAAAGTTAGGTATGAAATTTAGTAATGCCTATGGATTACCTCAAGTCAAAGCACTGCTACTTTTAAATTAGACCACAACAGATAAGCCTCGATTATGCTCTTGATTTTGAATTTGTTTGACATAGAAAAGAGCACTTAAACTGCAGCAGAAGAGGCAAAAAGAAGAGCTGGAAAAGGAGCAGCAACGTGAGAAGGAATTTGAACGAGAAAAGCAGTTAACCGCCAAACCAGCAAAGAGGACCTGAGAAGCTGAGTGTGTCTGTTCTTCCTCCCCTGCCCCACGTTGCTTGCACGCAGGGCGGCCTAGGTGTGCACTGGAGTGAAGGTAGTGCCTTACACCATTGGCTCGTGTTGTGCAGGCCTTTTCCCAGCAGGGCTCTCTCCGCATCTTCATTTCTGCTATCAAGAAGATTTTTTCCCCAAGTAGAAGACATAATGTCACTCGGTTTAAATCTTTGAATGTGGCTTTTCAACTTCTGTTTTGCATCATTTTTAAATTTGTTATTTTCACTTTGCGTTATTTATCAACCGGAAAATGGTTTGGTTGTTTTATAGTCTAGACTCTAAGTGATTAAAAACTAGTATGAAGTCTTTAGCTTCTTGAGAAGTGTGGATTGAAAAGATTCCGTTTCTTATATGGAATGACTTGCCTTTAGGGCAATACAGTCCTGGTTTTTGGTAATTGCTCTTTATTGCTTGGTTCAGAAGAAATGCCAGCTGTCTAATCACTTATGCCCATAGAGAAGAGATGGTGTAAGCCTTTGTGAAGAACATAATGGAGAAATTCGTAATAGGAAATAATAGCATCTTAGACATCAGACAGGTGGGCAATATTCCAGATAGATTCCACTAACCATATACACTGTCTGCTTCCTAGTGTTGTTGCTCTTTAGTTCTTACATGTTGTCTGCGTTGAGAGTAGATTATCTCTACCCCTAAAGTAAGTTTGGCAGGGACGGTAGAGCTGTCACACATGCAAATATGCTTAAATATGTAGGATACTTAGTAAGAGTCATCACACTGAGATACAGTTGCCAAATCGATAAGATAGGAGTCCAACTTGCCAAGTGGAACTTCTGACTGCTAGCTCTGTGTATCCACTGATTGGCTGCGTGGCCTTACATTTTCTTTGCTTTAAAAAAAATTCTTCAAGTAGAATGATACTTATACCCACTACCCATGTTATAGATAATGACAAGAATGGTGGAAAATTAGCAAAAGCTTCTTCACGAAAGAGGCAGCATGATACCTTTAGTGTTTTCTAGATTTTTCCCCTCAGTATTTTCAGTAGGAACTTATATGAGGGAAATATTAGGAAGTTTCATTTTCTAAAGCTAAGAGTATATTATTAATTGTTTTAGTAGTATTTAATATCCAACTGGTCTCCAATCTATATTACATAGAAACTGTACAGAACCTATCAAGGTGTATGTTTAGAATATGTATCTTTTATAGTCTCTATTACAATTTTGGTAAGCTGGAATCACTACCTCTGATCTCCTATCAGGCTAATTAATGATGGAGAGGGCATTAGATTTAAGCTAATTGCTAAAAACTGCAATTAGCAGGAAAATAGCCGGAAAACTGGTCTGTTTGAAGATTTACACAGTTTGTTGGAAAGCTGTTCTCTTTAATGAATGAATTATGATGTCACAATTTACTTGACTTTGACCTTATATTGAGAATATAAATATATTTTATTTTAAAAGACTACATTTGCCCTCAAACACTAGCTAAAACTGCCGAGGGCAAGATTATTAGCACTTGCAGTACAGTGTCACCTAAATTGCTGAATGAACTCCTCTGTAAAGGCTCTGCATTGTCTCTCAGAGTGTTTATGGGCCAGCTGCCTTGATCATCTGAAATGCTGGCTCCTGGACAACACCACTCTCAATCTGCTGAAGCAAATCTGTTTGTTTTGCCTTTTTTTTTTTTTTAAATGTTTCCCCATGTGATTCTGACGTACCTTAAAAGTTGAGACCCACTGGTCTAGTGGTCTAGGTCAGAGGTTCCCACACTAGGCTGTATGCCACTATCACCTGGGAACTTAAGCAAAACAGACATTCTGGAAGATTCCTACTCATTAGTTCTGAGGTGGGTCCCATGCACATTTTAAAGAGCTCCCCATATAATTCTGATGCAGGGAACCACTGGTCTAGACTGTCTAGTGATTTATATTTATAAGGAATGAAGTAGCTTAAAAACTACCCAATAACTCTTGGGATTAATCTTACAAAATAAATTCTCAACTGCTTTTGATAGAAAGTCAGATTAAAGACTGAAATAGATAGGAGGTAGGAAATAGATATAGAATTCTGGTTAATTAATTGAACTTTTGCAACCTGCATTAAAATAAATCATGTTTATTGAATGAGTGACAAGGCACATACACTTTTAGGATTGTATTTAAGATATGAAGATTTTTTAAAATGTCAAGGACATATATTAGCAACCACTATTTCTAGGTCAGTTGTAAATCAGAAGTACTGTTAATTTTGGTAATTACAATCTAAAACTTGAGCTGTATTTCAGTAGCACAAAACATATCTTACTGACTAAACCTAAATGGAATCCTTCTAGTAGTCTGCTGTATTTTTGCACAATATAATAAATAAATTGTTAACTTGGGTTGGTTTTTTGGTTGAAAAAAATTGCCTTTGTTTTGAATTATATCACGTATGTACTGAACTAAAATGATGAGAGTTAATTTTGTATTTACTTTGTAGTAGGTATTAGGTGAAGATGCAGACATTGAATGTAATATAGATTGTGTCTGCAGTGAGTTTTGGGGTGGATACAGTTTATAAATATGCCAGTTATACACCCTTGTACATTTGTCTGATTTTGAACTTGTACAATGAGGACTACTTTTTACACATTTAATAAAAAAAAAAAAGTCTCTGAATAATCCCATGTCATTTATCCACCGTTTTGTATACAGCACTGTATACTTCCCTTTATGTTTATTATTTTAAACATTTCACTCCTTCGCTTTCCTCACCTGTCATCTTCCTCTTAATGTTCTCTGTAGACTGTATCACACAATGAGTGGTTCATTCATGAAATCCTTTTCAGAAAGGTGACAGAAAGTGTTGTGAAAAGAATCTGGGTGAAAAAACCCCACTTTATAAAGTTATTTACTATTTGAGAATAGAAATAATAACTACAACTTTTAATGATTTGGTAGGAAGTGCTTTATAAGGATCCCTGCATGAATTGCCTATAAATAATGGAAATTTCCAATTAATAGGATAATTTAGGTCAGGTTTAAAATTTTTTTAACTTGGGGGCATCTGGGTGACTCAGTCGGTTAAGCATCTGACTCTTGATTTCAGCTCAGGTCATGATCTCACCGTTTGTGGGTTTGAGCCCCGCTCTCTGCTGACAGTGTGGAACCTGGTTGGGATTCTCTCTCTCTCTCTCTCTCTCTCTCTCTCTGTCCTATCCCCCATCCCCCTCTCAAAAATAAATAAATATTTTAATTTTTTTATCTGAGTCCTTGGACTTCTGTGGATGGCCTTTGGAGGGGACATGAACTCTCATAAATCTCTCATAGAATTTCTATGTGTTTCCCAGGATTGGATCTGTAGATTTCATTAGACTGTTTTATATACATCTAAAATTTCCTTCAAAGCAATGATTCTTAATCATTAAACCTCCAAACCTCACTGTGCATACATTTAGAAAAAAGTTACTTAGTTTCTAGATTTTCCTTTTGGAAGAAGATAGTTTACTTTTTTTTTTTTTTTTTTTTAAACTCACTCAAGACCCAGAGATCAAGAGTTGCATGCACTACCAACTGAGACTGTCAGTCACCCTGATAGTTCCTGTATTGTATATTTGTTCAAAGACTGTGTTTATATAGATTACTCAGATATTTAAGATTTGTTTTGTTGCATGTTCATACTGTTTTAGCTCTTATTTTGCATGCATGTGGCCAGATGCCATCTGGTCTTCAGGTTAGCATTTGGGTGAGAGTAGGTTTATTTCAAAGCCATTAAGAGAGTGAAGAGAGTAGTCAAGTCAAGACAGCTTTAATGGCTAGTTTAAAAAGCTCTTAAAGCAAAAATTTCAAAAAACACAATGTGAAGGAAGGGCACTGAAAGAGAAAATCGGGAAAATTGGCAGTGTGAGAGTGATAAGATTGTTTTGAGTAGCTGTATGTCATGAATTGGAAAAAAAAGAGAAAAGGAAAGGCCAAGACTGAAGTAGAAGGGGAGGTAATGCATCTTCTGCAGACCTGTGTAGCCTGAAAATAAGGGACGTAGATAGGCATGTACAGAATAATAAATTAATAATATCCACCTATTTAGATTAAGGTCGCCCCCTACTGTCACTTCATTGTAAATTGGAGGGAAGGTTCTAGCTAGCTGTTCATTCAGGTTTGGATCATAAAGACACTCTATTCTCAATGTGCTTCAGGAGGCGTGCAGGGCTCAAATCTGGATAAGGTCGGGGTTGGAAATGTCTGAGTGCGTATGAGTGTTGCTCACTCCACCTATTCTGGCTTCACTTTTATTCGGACTTTGGAAAGGACAGTCGAAAAGGATATTGAACGCTGTGCAAGGGAATACTAAGTAACAAAAATTTGATGTGTATCTAGACTTGAACATTCCTGGCCTCTGCTTTGATCCTAAAACTCAGGTATGGAGGGCCTCAGTAGCACAGTGGTTAGGATTGTGGACTCTGAAGTCAGACTGCTGTGGTTTCTATTTCTGATTGTTTGGGGCCTTGGACTTGCCTAACCCCTGTGTACCTCAGTTTCCTAAGCTATAAGGTTGGGATAGATGTTTCTGGCTTTATGTTAGAAGGTTTTATGATGTCCACATGAAAACAAAATAGAGCTCACAAACTGTTGGATGTTGTAGTATCTCGATGTCACATATCCACACAGGGGTCCTGGTGCTTATCTTGCCCCTTTTTACGTGTTGATTTTTGCTCACAGGGTTTCTGCTGCCTAGGATCCTTCATTCTGTAATGTTTACCTGTTGAGACACCTATTCATTTTTTGCAACTCAAAAGTCTATTTATGGTTTTTCAAACTGCTTCCTGAAGGCTTCCTTTATTCTTTGTGTTCTATAGTAGTTAATACATTTGGCATTTACAGTATTAGTTGTGTGCTCACAAGTCTCTTCAAGATCAAGGATACTTCGTGGTCATCTTTTTATTCCATGGTGGAGTAGTAGACCATGGTCTACGGTTGGTGTATATTAATTAGTCAGGGTTCTCCAGAGAAACAGAACCAATAGAGTAGGGGTGTGTGTGTGTGTGTGTGTGTGTGTGTGTGTGTGTGTGTGTGTGTGTGTAGAGAGAGAGAGAGGAGAAAGAAATTTGTTTTAAGGAATTGGTTCATATGATTATGGGGGCTGGTAATTCCAAAATCCTCAGGGCAGACTGGAGAACCAAGGAAGAGCTGGTGTTGCAGCTCGAGTTCAAGGGCAGTCTGGAGGGAATTCCCTCTTCCTCGGAGGACCTCAGTGTTTCTCTTTCGAGGCTTTCAACTAATTAAGGGCCACCCACTTATGGAGGATACTCTTGTATCTAGACTGGCATTTCACCGAATATCTAGATATCGTGATCTAGCCAGGTTGCCACATAAAATTAACCTCAGTTAAGAGACTGAATTGAGTCTGTAGGAGAGAGTGATGCAGATATTAAAAACAGCTATAATAAAAAGGTGGATTGCATAATATCGGATATGGAATATTATAATAAAAAGATTAAATTCTTGCAATCAAACATGCCTTGGGAGCCTATAATCCTTGGATAATCCATGGTACCTGCTTCTATTAATTCACTTAGTGATAGCCAGTTTTAAGACCTTGGGAATCAAATGAGCTCAGAGATCATGAATGTACCATTTAGATTTATACTTTCTCTATCAGCTACGGGCTGTTCCAGTCCCTTAAAAATAACTTCAAGGAAGAAGGTGGGCAGTTTTAGAGCAGGCTGGACAGAGAGCACATTCTCAGATTTCTAATCTGATCAAGCACAGATGGGATGATGCTGCCATCTTGTGGTGCTTTTTGCCCCCCTAGTTATATAAATTCTAGTGTCTCCGTTTGATGAAATTTGGCCTAAGTGTTTTTGACTATAGTTTTAGGTAAGTTATGATTTTCTGTATGGTCTTAATTTTTGTTTAAACAGTGAGGTGTTTCAAAGTAATCTGTGTAAAACAGCTGATAAAGTTTAAAACTACATTTTAAAAAAACTTTTTGAGTCTTTTAGTTTCTGTGTTTTTTTTTAAGATTTAAAGAAGAATTATTTTAAGTACAATCCACCCCCCTATATGGGGCTTGAACTCACAACCCCCACATTAAGAGTCATATGCTCTACTGACTGAGCCAGCCAGGGACCCTGAGTCTTTCAGTTTGATGGTGGGCTTGAGGGCTTTTTTTGTTCTCCAGTCGTGTAATCTGTCATCAACCATACCTCAGCATCCTGTTCTAAGAAAAACATTCCAGACAAAAGATCTTGCTGTGGGAAAGTTCTATGTTTTCATTCCCCTGAACCCCTACATCAGAACTTCAGCTGATAGGATCTGGGATGGGCACCTGGCCCAAGGGCAGCCAACCTATAGGCCAGTTGGTGAAAAATTAGCATGGCATTAAAAACTTTGCCTAAATGGGAACTACATAGACTCTCATTAGCTTAGTTGATGATTGCCTTGGGAATATGCATTAGAATACTCAGAATCAGCCCTTTAGGATTTAATAAAATGACACAGAAGCAGAGGACAACCAAGTGTCAAATGAGGAGTAGTAGGGAATCATGAAACTCCACTTCTTGAAAGGGGACGAGGTCATCAGAGTCCTCGACATGCCTTGGATCCTGAGCATTTTCCTGTAGAAGGCTCTGTATGACCTAGGTGCTAGACTTTTCTTGGGTTCCCACAGGATTTGATTTCTGAACTAAGTTTACTATTTTCCACGGATATCTTACAATACCACCCTCCCTTTTCCTACCTTTCCCACTTACGAGGTAACCTTAACAAATCTCTATTTGTTGTAACTAGAAGCCCCTAACATTGTCGTCTTTCAGGTTGCTCTAACATTTTGTATTTTTCAAAGTATTTTAGTATGCATCATCTAATTTAATAATAAGGATGCTACTTAGGAGTGTATGTATCTCCCTGCCTGCTTATCCAGGAATTCAGGAAGATGCCGATGACCAGCTCCCAGATGCAGTCCCGCCGTCAGCCATACATCTGTTCTCATTGCTTATTGAGGTTTTTTTTTTTTTCTTGTTTGGTTCAATTTCTTAGAGTAGTCTCATCTCTGGCTGGATTGCTAATCCCAGTATATTTGCAGCTCATTCTCAAGCCTAACATTCAGAGCCCCAGTTCTGTGGAGCATCTGGTACATGCCAGGTGCCGTAGCAGAAGGTGATCACCATAACACCATATTCTTATGGCTGCATTACAGATGAGAGTAGGTGGTGGAGCTGGGGTTTCGTTCAGGGAAACGCCCAAAGCGTCCCCATTGCTGAGGAACTATCTTGGGCTGGCGACCCTAGAAACAGAGATTAAATGCTAGAACTTAAGAGTTTTACTTTAACTCTTGTGATAAAACTATACCCATGATGGGGAGTTCAATGGATGTACCACTTCATCTGCTAATTCCCTTAATCGATTCTGACAATACAGGAAGAACAGAAGTGGAGGAGGCATGAGTTCCTCTGTTGGGAGCAAGCCGAGTGGGCAAGCCAAATGGTAAGAATTCACAGAAGTCTTCGATTTCTTGCAAGGTTGTTTTAATTCTAGACTGACCGTGAAGCTCCACACCCCTCAAAAACAAGCAGCAGAGAGACTGGATCTGGATGGGATGTGGCTCGGGGGCCTTGCCTTGATGTGATGACGATGCTGGAGTTGACAGAAGACAAGCCATGCTGCTAGGAGAAATGAACGACTCCAGTGTGACCAGGCCATTCCCATTATGGCTGTTACCACCGCCACCTCAAGAACGCTTTTTTTTTTAATGTTTATTTTTGAGAGTGAGAGAGCACGCACGAGCTGGAGAAGGGCAGAGAGAGAGAAAGGGAGATAGAGGTTCCGAAGCAGGCTCTGTGCTGACAACAGAGAGCCCGAAGCGGGGCTCGAATTCACAAACCCTGAGATCATGACCTGAGCTGAAGTTGGACGCCTAACCGACTGAGCCATGCAGACGCCCCAAGAAAGCTGTCTTTGATGAGGCCTTGCTGAGCCTGCATTTCTGGATCATCAGCCTACCACTCAGCTCTATCTGTTTTGTACCTTAAGAGCTTTGGGGGAAGAGCACAGGTAGAGTTAGAATCCCCGTTTTCTCCCTGGAGGCCCTAAGTAATTCAGTTTCCCTTAGGGGTGAACGTGCAGCCTGGAGGTGACCCCTAACATGTTTCCAACACTAATTAACAGTATAAGACACCTTGTATTCTGTGCCTGTCAAGGAAGCATTGGTTCCTGGGCCATCGTTTTGCTCAGTAATGGCAACAGTGTATTTGTTCAGTGGAGTGGCAGCATCCAGGGAAGTGAATTCATCTCAGATGAGATGTTTCTGGCCATTAACTACCTTGCAGTCTGGGCCTCACAAAAATCCTGTGGTCCATAAGTTTACCCTGTCAGAACGGGGGTGGGGGCAGAGAAGAGATAGCTTGTTTGCTTGTAGCTGAGGGCGGATGCCCCCTTCCGGTCTGGATTATGATGGTATAAAAGTCTAATGGGAGGGGGAGGAGGTGAGGCACAATGAGTCACCTTGCCTCTGCAGTGCACCCTGGACGTTTCTAATCCTACCAACTCACCTGCTCTCCCAGGAGAGCTGTCACACTCAGAAGCTTGTGCCACCTTACAAGTCAGACCTGATGTTAAGGATGCAGACTGGCAATTCAATCAGGCTGCGTCACATCCGCCTTAAGCGAGGGTTCCCATCGTGGCCATGAGAACGCACCTCACAAGCCTCCATCTGCGGGGACCATCACTGAGCCGGGGCCCCCGCTGTGGTGCTTCCGAGGCCCATCTGCATTTGCACCATGGCAGGCTTCCCATGGGCAGCTCCTCACCCATGGCCGGCTCCTGGGAGGCATGGGACTTCTCTGACGGTCAGCTTTGGCTAAAGGACTCCCCATGGGCATCACTGAAGTTCTACTCCGTTCTGAAGTTTAGGATCCTCCCCACCCTGTCCAAATTCCTTCCTTTTCTTCTTCATTCTGGCAGGTTAGACAAGAAGGAGTAAAGAGGTTGGCATAAGTGGGCATACAGGAAAGGCTATATCACGTAAGGCCAAAAGACGCGGCAGAGAATATGTGCCACGAGAGAGCACAGGACACACCACCAAGTCATCAAAATGCACTGGTGAGAGGGGCACCAGCATCACTAAGAGGTTTCACAGGCCAGGGATGGTGGAGGTTCTGAGAAGTGATTATAAACTGAGTGTATTGAGTGTGTTAGCACAGGGGAAGATCAATAGAGGGCCAGGGGTTGGCCCTTAACTGCTGAAAGCCCCAAGGCCAGACTTCCCTTACTCACTAAAAGGCCAGGTTAGGGGCAATCCATGGGCTTTACTGGCAACACATTGTGGAGATGGTTAATGGGCCTTCGTGTCAACTTCGCATCTAGGCACAAAATAGGCAGATAGTCAACAAGGGTGCAGCTTATTAGCATCCATAACAGGAGTCAGCAAACTTTGTGGGTAATGGGCTATAGTGTAAATATTTCGGGTTTTGTAGGTCACACAGCTGTTGCAGTACAAAAGCTCCCATAGACAATATGTAAACAAATGAGTGTAGCTGTGCTTCAATAAAACTTCCTTTACAAAAACAGGCAGTTGGTTTGATTTGGTCCATGGGCCATTGTTTGCTGATCCCTTATCTATTTTGATTTTTTTTTTTTTTTAAGCAAAATTGGAGGAGCAACAAGCTGGTGACAGTCACTTTAATATGAAGTCATGATCTCTTGGGTTGCTTGGGCGGCTCAAGTCGATTGAGCGTCCGACTTTGGCTCAGGTCATGATCTCACGGATCGTGGGTTCAATTCCCGAGTCAAGCTCTGCATTAATGGCTCAGAGCCTGTAGCCTGCTTCGGATTCTGTGTCTCCTTTTCTCTCTGCCCCTCCCCTACTTGCACTCTGTCTTCTCAAAAATAAACATTTAAAAAAAGAAGAAGTCATGATCTCTTGCTGAGTACCCAGACTTGAGTCAGTTTTGAGATCTGGAACCCACTGACTAAAGAGGTGTCTGGAGAAAGGACCCTGCAACACTGTGGCTTGTATAGACCTTGACAATCCCCCCGTCCTTCCTCAAAGGAACCCATGGCCATTTACTTGGGTAATTGTTCACTAGGACCATTGGACAAAGGTTTTTAGTCAACACTGTATCCTAGAGACCCAAAGGGGGCATCATGGCCCCCCTGTTAGAAAGGGGGCCTGTGAGGACCTGGTAAAAAATTAGGTCCTGCATGAAGTCCAGTTTACAATGGGTCTCCTAGAGCCACAGTCCCATCCAGGGGCCATACTAAATCTTTTCCCACTGTTGACACCCCGAACATCATGGCGGCAGCTAGCAGGGGTGGCAGCACTGGGTTGAACCTTTTGCAACCCCTTTCCTGCTTCAGCTCCACTCGAAGCTGGCAGACTTCTGTGTCATCCAATATATGTGCCAGAGAAATATCCCTGGAGTGGAATGTGTTGCTTCTAGAACACAAAGAGATCTACAAGGCACTGTGCTTCCTTCTTTGTGACGGGATTGTATGATGCAGCAGTTTGTCTTTTATCTCAGAAGGGGATGTCCCAGAATACCCCTGGCCACTGGAACTCTAAAAATGTCACGGAAATGGTCTATTCCTGACTCTTCATAGAGTTTTCTCCCATACTCTGAAGTGTATGCATCTTATTGAGACCTGTAGCATTCTAGCCTCACTTACTCAACCTGTCCAGTCAGCAGGATGTCATCGGTGAAATGGATCAGTGTGATCTTCTCTTATATATCTAAGAGGTCCAGAGCTCTCAGACTGTTTAGTGATAGGAAGTGGGAGGTTTTTTTAAATGTTTATTTTTGAGAGAGAAAGACAGGGAGCAGTGGAGGGGCAGAGAGAGAGGGGGGACAGGGGATCCAAAGCAGGCTCTGTGCTGACAGCAGAGCACCTGATGTGAGACTTGAACTCACAATCCATGAGATCATAACATGAGCCCGCTAGATGCATAACCGACTGAGCCACACAGGTGCCCCACAAACTGTAAATTGAATGTCTGTTTTCCTTGCCCACAGAGTCTCAGCCAACACTTGTCTCTGGAGGCTTAAGGAATGTCTCATCCACAGGTATGGAATCCCATTCAGCAGAGCATCGAACCAGGAGATCTGTGTCAAGTGGAGGAGGTGGAATTGTGGGTCGTGGCCATGAGATCATGTACTGTACCACCCAGAAGGAACCGGTCTTAAAGATTGTCGGAATGGCCTTCTAAAAGCAAACTGAAGCTCCAGCCGTGAGAAAGCACTCTGAGAAGGTGGAGTTCTGTCCTTCAGGACATGGTGTATTTATTAAATCAGACACCTCCATATGGTACCCTGTTCTCACTAAGGATACAAGGGTCTGAAATCCAAGGGGTGGAAGCAGGAATGGCGTAATTTACCATCCTCCCTAATGACCCACAGGGAATTTGTGCTTCCTTTCCTTGAAACTCTGGGCTCTGCATGGCTCTGGGCAGAGCATGGGACGTGGGGGTCGTGGTCCCAAGTACTCCATGGTTGGAGCCACCCTTCCCAGAGGCACAATGAAGGTCCCATTGAATGAGAAGTTATGGCTGCTGAATTTGGAGTTTTGTGTCCAGGGACAAGCAGGCAAGAGAGGAGTTGCTATACTAGCAGGAGTAACTGACCCTGATCATCAAGAGGAGGGAAGCTGTTTTTACACAGCAGGGGGCCAGGAGGAATGTGTGTGGGACTCAGGTGATCTGTGTGGGCACCTCCTATGCTCCCTTGCCCCATTAGAACTGTAAATAGGACACATGCAGCAGCCCAGCCTGAGACGGGAACGTATGATTATCAGGTGTTCAGACCCCTTAGGAACAAGGTCTGGTCACACGACCAGGGAAGCCCCAGGGCCTGCCAAGGTGAAGTTGAGGCTGAAGGGGGTTTAGAATGGATGGTAGAGAAGGGCGAAGGTGAGTGTTCACTCTGGCTTTGGGACCAACTGTGATGATCTTGAGGGACTGTAGTTCATCCAGTAAATGCCTTCTTCTGAATTGTTTCTCAGGAGAGAGGCCAGGAAGCCCATGGAAGAGCTGCTCTCTGCACCTCTGTGGAGAAGTAGATCTGTGGGGCCAGGAGACCATGCCTCACAGCCCTCCAACGATAGGGAACATAACTGAACAAGGACCCCAACTACTTCCCTCTGAATTCTGCCACCACATTTTTGCTAAAGTACGCTTCTTATGGACTGCTCCTAGTCAATGACTGATCTCAGCAGGGATATTAAAGCAAGCCCAGAGCCCCTTGTTCAAATTTTTAAAAAGAATTTCAAGATGGCCGGGCACCTGGATAGCTCAGCCAGTTAACTGTTTGACTCCTGATTTCTGCTCAGGTCATGACCTCACGGTTCATGGGACCGAGTCCTGTGTATGGTTCTGTGCTGTCAGCCATAGCTTGAGATTCTCTCTCTCTCTCCTCTCTCTCTGCCCTTCCACCCCCAAAATAAATAAATAAACATTAAAAAAATAATTTAAGATGGCAGCAGCATAGCATTAAACCAGATGTGGGCCCTTTGTGACTGCAGGTCATATTCTCATTAAGCTGGCTTTGCCTGGGAGACACAGGTATCCCCTAGTGGCTGACTTTGGCTTGATAGCTTTGTTGAACCTTCTTCAGACTAAACAGCTATTGAGAAAGCTTTCACTCAACCTTCCTTCCCTCTTTTCTTTTTTTAGTGTCAGACTTACATCATAGTCTGGTGGTTATCCCAACCTTCTCCATCTCCCTCCTCATTTTTTCTTCCAAGAGTTACCTAATAAAATCCTTGCATGTCTAATTTTGTATTGGCATCTGCTTCTCACAATGCCTAGATGAGCACAGCCTCTTAATCCTGCTATCCCATCACATATGTATGTAACAGACCCTTCGGCATGACTTTGAGGGTTTTTTCCCAGCAACAAAAACAATTTAGGCCCACTGTCTCCTGGGTCCTGGCTGGATGATACTGCTTATGCACAGAATGACCTGATTTCAACATTTATTCATTTTTGAGAGACAGAGAGAGAAAGTGTGTGAGCAGAGTAGGGGCAGGGAGAGGGAGACGCAGAATCTGAAGCAGGCTCCAGGCTCCGAGCTGTCAGCAGTGAGACCTACAAACTGCGAGATCATGACCTGAGTCGAAGTCAAATGCTTTACCGACTGAGTCACCCAGGCGCCCCCAAAATGACCTGATTTCAAATGGGTCACACAGGTTATACAGAGGCGAAACTTTTTTGTATCCCGTTTTCATCATGACTTCTCTCCTGTTTGACAAGGCTGACTATATTTTGGACATGAAGTTGTAGTAGAGGTTAAAACTCCTGCGTGAGAAAGAGATACCAGATGGAAAGGGGAGAAATCAGTAACAGGAAAGAGAATGCATGTAAGAAAGAAGGACAAGAGTAGGGCATAGTTGAGAGCGAAAACAAGGGCTAAGAGTGGCATTTTCTGGAGAAAGAAGGGGACCCCTTGGATCTTGGATGTTGGCAGCCCCAAGGCCAATGCCATTGGCTGCTGGAGAGAGGCTACTTGCTGTCACTCAGTCACTGCTCTCTCTGGGTCCCCAGCAACTTTTTCAGAGTTATGTCAATTGCCCAGCTCTAACAGAGTAACCAGAAACCAGACGCAAGCTTTCTCCATTCTTCATGCTCCATCTGGAGCTATGGGCATCCCCAGGCCCTCCAGGGAAATGCTCGTTGCAACTTCATAGCCCCTAGAGCTCCCTTCTAGATGGACTGTTCTGTGTTATTCAAAACATGCGTAGAGAAGTAGTAAGTGAAGAGTAGGAGAATTGCTACCTGCTCCAGGGATCAGGAAGACCTTAGATCCTCATGCTCTCCCGGAGTCCTGAGGTTTTCATTGAATTACTAGCCCTCCAGGTGCTTATCAGTTGTGAGCTATAAGTTTACAGGATTTTAAACACTCCTTTGAGGCAGCCTGTTTGAACTCTGTTTTGGTGCTTTTACTCTTACTTCGAGACCATTCTGCTGAACCCAACACACGTTTACTGAATAAAAGACACAGTGCTGAGCTCTGGGGACAAGAAGACGAAGACACAGTTCCTGTCTTCAGTGGGTTTGTATTTTTCTTGGAGAGACAAAATTTGTCACGTTATACATAACTTTATTAGTGGGAGCAGCAAGTAAGTATGACATAATAAGTATCAGAGAAACTGAGGCCGGGAATGAGGAGACTCACTGCTGGCACTAAGGCAGGCTTGGGAGGAAAGGACCTTTGACAAGAAGCCAACCATCAGCTCCAAAGAAACCCCTCGCACTCACCAGCTCTTGCTCTCGAGACAGAAGGAACACACCCTGCATGTATGTGCCCCGGAGGACGCTCTGGGGCCTTTCCCTCTTTTGCTTCATCTTTTGGGAGTATCACTCCCACACTCAGGTTCAGTTTTATGTCTAAGGGGCATTTTGGGTGCAGTATATCTGCCTGTAGAGGAAACAGCTTTTCCACATCTCAAATCAGTCCCAACTCTGAGAAACTGGGTTTTAATATTCATGTACCAGGGCAATATTCGTACCATTTCATTTGTCTTCAGGCAGGCATGTTGAACTTCTTTCTCTTCAGTACCCAGTATAACACCTGCCTGAGCACTGGATAGCAACACTAAGAAAAACTATAATACTACAGTTACTTTAGTAATTACCACTTACCGAATACATATTCTATGCCACATATGGTACCAGTCACTTTATATGTATTAACTCTTAATTTTCATAAGGATACCATGAGGTAGGCACTTTAAAACATACCCATTTTACTGATACAGTTAACTGAGGTGTATTAATACATTCTCTTTGAGACTGGTGGTGCACAAACCCAGAGTATATAGGTCCTCATAGTCCCATACACAATGTTTATTCTTGTAGGAATATCCTTGAGATAGGAGGGCAGATTTTATCTCTATTTAGTAAACAAGGAAGTCTGGGCAAAAAAGAATTGCCCCAAACTGAGTTTGAGACTAAGTCTCTGAGAAAGACTTCATTCCAGATCCAGTACTATTCTTACATCCTAGGAGACTCCCATGGATGGAGAGTCTGATCCCACATGAGCCACACCTTCACTCCACAGCATTGGAACACGGAAGGATTCAGCCTAACCCTTTGTTGCTGTAGCACTGAGGGTTTTCCCTATCATACCACCTTGCTTATGTATATAGAAGACAATCTATATTAATAAGATCTTATGTTTTATGGAGCCAATAGTAGACAGCTTTTTTTTTTCTTTTTTCTGTCAATATTCACCCCCTTCTGCTGCAGGGGGTGGGATCCAGAGGGGAACGCCCTTCATAAGAATACTCTGGAATTCAGAGGGCCCAAATGTGCTCGCTCTCTGCTTTGAGAGCTACCATGCTGGCCTTTGACATAGATTTGATCAGTGGACACTCCCACCAAGGACTGGAATTCTCATTCCAATATTTGTGTCATTTGTGAAGGCAGCAGGAGCATTCCTGTGGTGCCAGATGGTGTTGTGCTTTGTTTTTTGATGCCGCAGAGCTGTCTTTTTTTAATTTTTTTTTTAATGTTTTATTTATTTCTAGGAGAGAGAGACAGAGACAGCATGAGCAGGGGAGGGTCAGAGAGAGAGGGAGTCACAGATTGAAACAGGCTCCAGGCTCTGAGCCGGCAGTCAGCACAGAGCCCGACGCGGGGCTCGAACCCACGAACCGCGAGATCATGACCTAAGCGAAAGTCGGACACTTAACCGACTAAGCCACCCAGGCGCCCCGCCGCAGAGCTGTCTTGATTCCTGTCCACCTTTCCTGCCATCATTACTTCATCACTCTGGTGGTTCTGTGAACCTCTCCCGAGAGCCTTTATTTTTTATTTTATTAAAAAAAAATTTTTTTTTTAGTGTTTATTTATTTTTGGGAGACAGAGAGAGACAAAATGTGGGGAGGGGCAGAGAGAGAGGGAGACAGAATCTGAAGCAGGCTCCAGGCTCTGAGACACAGAGCTTGAACTCATGAACTGTGAGTTCATCGCCTGAGCTGAAGTTGGGAGGTATCCAGAGCTCATCTCCTGCTTGCGACCAAGAATGCCGACTGAGATAGAGCCCTTTGTAGTATGTGAAATGCTTCTGGTCTGAAAACCAACTTCATCTTCCATGTAACAGATGAGGAATCTCTAGCTACCCTGGAGCCTGACAGCAATTTTAGTTCTTATTTCACATAGAGGAGGGCTCTGAGGAAAACAGCACATTTGGGAGATGTTGAGGCAGCTTTTAAAAACTCGGCATGACACACTATTATGCCCTGTTTGCCACTGCGGTTCTGTGGCTGCCTGGTGGTCTGGCCGGATGATTGCTGCGTGTGCCGCTCTGTCCCAGCAGTGGGGACCCGGAAGGAACCCAGCCCCAGCTCCCCTACAGGTCTCACTGAAGCCCCCCAGAAACTGACCTTCACCTTGGCCAGGCTGCTCTCTCAGCTAGGGAGGGTGTGCTGGGGCCTGGGAGTGAGCCGTTTCTCAAGCTACTCATTCACCCAGGGAGGAACAGGAAGGGGGCGAGGGTGGGGCTTGCCGAGGAGCTGAGCAGGGAGTACTGTTTACGGCTGCCTGTTAGCAGGACCGGCCCCTCTGTGTGCCCTTCCTTCCCACCTTCCTTTTCTTGTTCTGAGGGCCCCTTTCTCGGTTCCATTTCCTATTCCCGCCCATTCCCTTTGCCGGCCCTTCCTGCTCAGGCGCCGGCACCAGCTTCCCAGAGCCCCGTCAGTTTGCTTCTCCTTCTCCTAAATGTGCTTGGATTGGGTTGTGTTCCTCTCAGTGCGAGTCCTTCTTCTTCCCACCCTTTAATGATGCTTTTCCTAGATCCCCATCTCCAGAAGCACACTTCGGCTACTTAGGAGCCCCTCGTGGGGAGGAACCAAGTCTGTTTTGTCAACAGTGTATGACCAGGCAGCAGGCAGAGGGCTTGCTTGACGCCTCGCAGGCAGGCAGGGACTGGGGAGCATCCATCATACGAAAGAATAGTTGCATGAGTGAGTGAGTAAACTGTTAGCCCCTTCCTGGATGTCTGATACTGCAGTCACTGATCTTCTGGGAAGGAGAAGGAGGGGTCTTAGGTGAGGCAGGATGCCTCCAACTTTCTTCCTTCTCCTCAAGATTGCGTTGGATATTCTAGGCCTTGTGGTTCCACACAAATTTTAGGATTGTTTATTTTCTTCCTGTGGAAAAAAATGTCATTGGAAGTTTTATAAAGATTGCTTTGGGTAGCATGGGCATTTTAACAGTAATTCTTTCAATCCATGAGCATGGACCATGTTTCCATTTGTGTCTTCTTCTAGTTCATTCATCCGTGTCTTATAGTTTTCAATGTCTTCTGGCTCAAAATTGCACTAAGACTTTGGGGACACCCTGTATTGATCATGAAAAGACGCTGCTCCGTCTGATTTGGTGGAGGACCGCTCATCTACACTTTGCAACCCCCTTGAAAGAGCAGCCAACCGAAAACGTCCAGTTATGAAAGTACGATGGAAGACGGTGTGAAGGTCAGTGGCTGAAGCCAGCTGACCCCAGCCCGTGCCGTGAGGTAAGAGCGCGGTTCCAGCGTTCACCAAAGCAAAAGCCGCTGGGCTTCTCTGAGCCACGGTGGCTTTATCTGTGAGGTGCGCGCTAGGGTAGCTGTTTCCTGGGACGTCCTGGGAACCGGGCGAGAAGCACACACCCCAGCTGGCCTCGGTCCACAGCCCTGCCTCCACCTCTGCCGCTCCCAGCTACGCAGTGCAGGCGGCACAGGCCCGGAGAGTGGGTGGAGAATGGAGGGCGCGGGGGAGGGGGGCAGGCGGGAGTGACAGGTGGCCTCAGCGCCCTTCGCTGGCGCGGGCTAGGACGCCCGCCAGTTTCCAGAGTGCCCCAGGGACAGGGGCGAACGTGCCCCGCGGGCAGAGCTCTGCGCCGGCTGACCCCCGCGTCGCTGGCTGTGTCCTCTGGGCGCGCTCAAAGCCCGGCGGCAGTCTGCACTTGGCCTCGATGTCAGGCTGCGGCGTCGGGCGGGGCGGCGGCAGGGCCTTTCCGGGCCTTTCTTGCGGGGAGCCCCGCTCTCCCCGCCTCCAGCATCCGCCCGGGGGCCGGGCAGGCGGGCGGGCGGGGCCCCAGCCGAGGCGCTGAGCCCGGGCAGGGAGCAGCAGCTTTTGCTGCGCCAACGCTGAGGCCGGAAGCTCCGCTCGCCCCTGGGTAAGAGGCCTCCCGCGGCCGCTCTCGGGCCCTCGGCCAGGGGAGGGGACCGGGCGGGGACACAGGTCGCCGCAGAGGCGGGTTGTAGGCCCCCCGCCCGCCCCCGCAGCTGGCCCCGCGCGGCCGCGGCGCTGCGCGTTCCACGCCGCTTCGCACCCTTTCTCCACCCGCGAACCCCGCCGCTGTCGCTGCCCTTGTCTGCAAGCCGGGGGCTGGGGCTCGCGCTTCCTTCCCGGCGTGTCAGGTTTCGGGGGCGCCCCGAGGCCAACCTGCGAGGGGAGTTTGAAAGCTGGAGTATCCGTGGCTTTGGTGCGTGGGAATTTCTGGCGCCGTACGCTTGTTGAATGTGCCGCTTAGCACCGTCCCGGGACACCAGCCTCGGGGATCGGAGGTGGACATCAGCCCGTCTGCCCGCAGCGGGGACCCATTTATGCACTGACAGTGCGCGTGGGACCGAGGGGGGAATCAAGGAGTCAGCTGCGCCTGGAGCAAGCCGAGGAGACATTTAGGGGCGCGTGCCGAACGGGAATTGGTGGAAAGGAGAGAAAGGGTTCTTTCTTTGGTGGAATCAGGGGTCTTAGCATTTGCTCTTCTTCTCTTTCTTCATGAGGAAAATCCCAACCTAGCTTCTTGCCCAAAGACGTACGGAAAAGAGCCTCTGCATGTGCCTCGGTTTCTCATTGTTGTAATGTAGGGTTCTGACCCACTTTTGTGCCATGTACCCCTTTGGCAGTTCCGGGGAGACTAAGGATGCCTTCTCAGAACGATACTTTTTAAAAATTTAAAAAAAGTTTTAAAAATACTTATTTATTTATTTTGAGAGAGAGTGAGCGGGCAAAAGTGGGAGAGGGGCAGAGAGACTGAGAGACAGAATCCCGAGCAGGCTCCACGTCATCAGCGCAGAGCCCGACTAGGGGCTGCGACTCACAAACTGTGGCACCACTACCTTAGCTGAAATCAGGAGCCAGATGCTTAAGTGACTGAGCTACCCAGGCTCCCTTAAATGGCTGAGCATTATAAAGAAAACTGTTTCCAAAGCACTTGTCAAAATATTAAAAAGAATTTGTAATGTAGTAATATATGTGCCTTAAAGAAAATTGAATGCATTGGAACACCTGGGGGGCCCAGTCCATTGAGCGTCTGACTTCTGCTCAAGTCATAATCTCACGGTTTGTGGGTTCCAGTGGTTTGTGGGTTCAAGCCCTGCGTGGGGCTCTGTGCTGACAGCTCAGAGCTTGGAGTCTGCTTCAGATTCTGTGTGTCCCTCTCTCTCTCTGCCCCTCTCCTGCTTGCCCTCTCTCTGTCTGTCTGTCTATCTCTCTCTCTCAAATATAAAATGAACATTAAAAATATTTTTTAAAAATCTAATGCATTAAAGATCTAGCAGTGGTCTAACATCTACCATAATTTTGAAGTAGTAATGAGCATAAACTGTATTTCAGGAAATAGGCCAGCCCTGTAATACAAGAAAATATCTGTGATTTCTTTTGGTGACAATCATAGGTAGTTACTAATACTGCTGTGGTTTTTGCCAACATGTATGATTGAAGAAAATGTTAAATTCTGGTTAGAGATTAGTGAAAATAAAGATGTGATTTCTTTCCCCCGTTCAACTTCACACCTCAGGTTAAGATACCTCCCTGATGGTGGGAAGGGCATTGCCCAGAGGTCAGATAACATGGTTGTGGTCTTGACACTTCCATTGACTAGCAGCATGGTCTTGGCTTTTGAACTTCCTTGCACCTTAGCTTCTTCACTGGTCGATGGAGATAATCATGTCTCCCCAGGTAGTTAGAGTATCCAGCGCTGTACCTGGCACAAAGATGTGAAATAAATACCATTTGTTAGAACTTGTGTGTTTCCCTCACTGGACTACAAGTTTATGGCCATCACCATTGGTGTCCCCAGTCCTGGTATATGGAAGGGACTCAATAAATATTCATTGAATGAATAAGTGGGTTGGAAAAGGTTGCTTATGATTACATCTGAAAAAAAAAAACAACAAAATTCATTAAGGAGACAGATGCTGGTTTGAAATATGACTAAAATTTAGACTTTTCATCTCTTCCTTCTCCTCCTCCTCCTTCTTTTACTGGCTGAACAAAATATATATAAACACATCTGGAGTTGGCGAGCTTGAGATATCAGTCAGGATGGATAGTTTGTGTGTGTGGGTCTGTGTGGCTGGTGTTCTGCCAGAGAAAATGAAATTGAATGTTGATAGGAAACCAGGAACAGTTTCTTTCCCATCTTGCCTATGTCTAGGCTTGTTAATCCTATCTGTTGCAACACAGGAAATGTCTAATAGGGAATGGAGACAGACCCATGATGAGGCATTTCTGGGCATAGATGCACATTTCTTTTTCCTCTTTTCTCCCTACCTTTCCCTGCCCCACGCCCATTAGGTACCTCCTCTGTGACCCTGAAGATTTGGTGAATAGCAGCAGAGGGGGTGTGTTGCTAGAAGGGGCCCAGACTAGGCCTGAAGCAAACTAGTTGCTTCTTAATTCCCAGCCTTAAAAGTCTATGTAACAACAATTGTAGATGGTAACAGGAAGAAGAAAAGTAGGTCCAGCCATCCCTGAGGTTTACTTTGTAAAAGTGCTAAATTGGGGCAGGAAGATGGGGGAGAACTTTGAAAGGAAGAAGAAATTTAGAACACACTGGGACTAACTATGTCTATGACTTTGAGAAGGGCAAATACTGGTGTTATGGACTGAATTGTGTCCTCCCAAAATTTATGTGTTGAAGCCCGAATCCCCAGTGCCTTGGAATGTGACTATATTTGGAGACAGGGCCTTTAAAAGGTAATTAAGATGAAATGAGATCATAAGGGTGGGGCTTAATCCAATATGACGGATGTTCTTATAAGAGTAAGAGACACCAGGGCCTGGTTATAACTTTTTATTCTCTGCTGCAATAATTCACAGCTCAGATCAATCTAAGGAGTTACTAGAATGAGTATTCCCATTTGAAATATCTATTTTTTTTCCTGAGAGGGAGGGGGGAGGGGCAGAGTGAGGGAGACAGGACCGAAGCGGGCTGTGCACTGACAGCACAGAACACAATGCAGGGCTCAAACTCACCAAACCCTGAGATCATGACCTGAACCCAGGTTGGATGCTTAACCGACTGAGCCACCCAGGCGTCCCACAAGTATTCCCATTTGAGTACCTGCTTGTGAGCCTCCATTTCCCTTTTCTCCTCATTTAGAAGATCACAGCGTTTTAGAAAAGGAAGGGAACTTTGAGGCTTCCAGTCCAGTCCTTTATCCATTGCTGAAGAAAGTGTGGGCCAGGATGGTTAAGGACCAGCCCTGCCTGGCCCTGCCTGGAATGTGAACCCAGTCTCCCAACTCCCTGACTCCTGACACACCCTCAGACAAAGCTTCACCAGGATGAGGAACTGTGTTGTTTGGTCAGACATAGGACAGACGTGAGCTTAGGGAACCCAGCACACCTGTTACCTAGCTTCCCCCCCATTCTGTTCTAACCAGGAAAGGATTGAGTTTGGCATCTCTTCAATCACGCTCAAAGGACAAATGTATAACTTGTAATTAAATAGTCTTTTCTCATTGTGTTAAGACCTCACACCCTGGATTCTGAGGAACAATATGCCAGATTAATTGGCCAGTCCCTGTTTATAATGAAATTCTGCCCTTCAGAGCCTTCTTGTATGTGGGACCGAGCAGGAATCCCAGCACTCCTAAGGCTGATGAGTAATTTTCTTGTGATCATTTAACAGATTCAGCCTAAGCTGACCCCATGCTGTGTGACTGGGAGCACATTAATTCCTCATCAGGCCTCCTTCCCCAGTGTGTCCTGGTCTACAGTCTGGGGATAGGCTCACATAGGCATGTGCAGATGTTGAAAGGAAGCCTGCAGTATACTTGACGAGAGGCCAACTGTGAGTGATGGACTTGAAGGAAAGCTAAATTGAGATTACACTACACCAGAACATGAGCCACACTCCTTGGCTAATGCAAGCAGAAAAGCAAGGCATTCCCACCCCTCCACCATATAATTCAATCAAAACCTTTAACTCTCAGTTGAAATAATCCAGGTGGCTGACTTATTTCTTCCTTTTCTGAAGCTGAAGTGCAAGAATTTTCCTTTTGTAAGCAGAGTTTTTATTTTCTGCTTAGCAAATATGAGGCTTGGTGAAATTGTCAGTTCCTCCCCTTTATTAGGCTTTCTTGATTGTAAAATGCATGTCGGCCAGGGAAACTTGTAGGAAATTTCTCAGCAGCAAACGGCGCTACAGTTTCATTGCCCAAGTCATCATTGTTAACTCTTTATCAGTAACTCTTCAAAGACATTTATTTATTTTTTAATGTTTATATTTTTAATTTTTTTAAACATTTTAATTTACTTTTGGAAGACAGAGAGAAAGAGTGGAGCAGGGGAGGGGAAGAGAGAGAGGGAGACACAGAATCTGAAGCAGGCTCCAGGCTCTGAGCTGTCAGCACAGAGCCTGATGCGAGGCTCGAACCCACGAACCGCGAGATCATGACCTGAGGAAAGTCGGCTGCTTAACCGACTGACCCACCTAGGCACCCCAAGTTTTTGGTGTTATTTATTTTGAGAGAGAGGGAGAAGCAGAGTGAGAAGGAGAAAGAGAATCCTAAGCAGGTTTTGCCGCCAAGGACATTTTTCATGCTTTGTTCCTAAAGAGTTAGAGAACTAAAGAACCCCACTGTGGCTCTAACCCCTGAATCATCAGGGAGCAGTACATGATATTTGTTTTCTGTATGATTTGCTCCTGTTCCACTGCCAGAGTGCTTGCTCCACAGCTTAATATTAAAATTTTCTTTTTACATTTATTTATTTTTGAGACACAGAGTGAGACAGAGCATGAGCGGTGGAGGGGCAGAGAGAAGGAGACACAGAATCCGAAACAGGCTCCAGGCTCTGAGCAAGCGTTCAGCACAGAGCCTGACGCGGGGCTCGAACCTAGAAACGGAGATTATCACCTGAGCCGAAGTCGGCCGTTTAACTGACTGAGCCACCCAGGCGCCCCCACAGCTTAATATTTAATGTTAAAATATTAAAATATTTAATTTTACAATAGCCCTGTAGAGTTCCAACATGGCCCTGCAGGCCTAGATGATGATTGCTCAGTCTTGTTCATATGTTAACAATAAAGTGATCCAGGTCCTGAACACACAGGTGACGACCGCGCCTCCATTACTCAAGAGGAGGTGTGTGCCAAGAGGAAGGGCGCAGCCGCATTACCCTTTGCAGAACGGTGCTCAGTGGACTTTTAGGGGGTGTGGTTTCCTTCTCTCCCAGTTCGCTTTGGACCTTTACTGCACTTTGAGTAATCCGACGCTGATACTTACACCCTCTCTCATTGTATCCACCTGAGCAAGGTCGTGTTCACCTCCTTCCTTCTTTATCACCTATAGCTAATTTGTCACGAAAATTCGGTCGGCATGTGTTTCATATTCACGCCTTCATCTCTGCTCTATCATCTATTCTAAGACCTCCCAGGTGCCTGAGTTTCTGAAACAGCCACTTCGGAGATCCTTATACTCCTGGTCTCTCCTGTTAGACCACTCTGGGGCCACCTGGGTGGCTCAGTTGGTTAAGCAGCTGACTTCGGTTCAAGGTCATGATCTGGCAGTGTGTGAGTTTGGCTGCATGGAGCCCAATGTCAGGCTCTGGGGGAGCCCGGAGCCTGCTTCAGATTCTGGGTTTCCCTCTCTCTGCCGTCCCTGCTCACACTCTGTCTCTCAAAAAATAAATAAATGTCAAAAAAATTAAAAACGAAGCAAAAAAAGCCAGACCACTCTTTTATCGTTGCCATCTCCCCAACAACATTAGTTGCGTCGAGAACTGCCATTAGCAGGGACCATGAGTTCAAATGCTCACCAGTGGGAAGCAGGTGACACAAATGAGTAACGTAGACTGGGTGGGGCTGGAGTGAACTGTAACCTTGTGTTCGGTGTAGATGAGTGAAGAATGCTCAGCTCCAACCAAGGGTTGACATGTAGGAATGTGGGCCCAGTGATGTCAGGCCAAAAATCTGGAGTTGAATTTGTTTTTGTTTTTGTTTTGTGAGATAACCAAAAATTTTAATGTTGGCACTAACTCAAAATTTAAGAAAACTCTGTGAGGGGCTCTTGGGTGGCTCAGTCGGTTAAGCATCCGACTTCGGCACAGGCCATGATCTCACGGTTTGTGGGCTAGGGCCCTGAGTTGGACTCTGTGCTGACAGCTCAGAGCCTGGAACCTCCTTCAGATTCTGTGTCTCCCTCTCTCTCTGACCCTCCCCTGCTCACGCTACCCCTCTCTCTCTCAGAAATAAATTTCAAATAAAAGAAAGAAAACTCTGTGAGCCAACCAAAACACATCTCTGGTCTGCATTTGGCCTGCAGATTGCTGCTCCGTGACCCCTAGACGGGATTGCAATTGTCTGGGGTTAAGCTTCCAGATGAAACTTCAGTTACATATGCTCATCCAGTCTCACTTCTCCCTTCCCGGTGGACATCTGTCTGCTGTAGGCTGCCCTCTTCCTTGTCCACAGTTATATGACGCTCATTCTAAGTGATTCTACTTGCCAAACCTCAAACCTATCTCCCCAAAAGTACCCCAAACAGGCCCTTACCTTGCCCTCCACGTTTCCTGTTTCATAGAATTCTTCCCTCTTCTGCCACTTGAGTGTCAATTTTGACTTTTTTTTCTCCCAGGGTGCCCTTCCCACCTCTCATTCAATCATTCTCTTTCCTCTACCTCGTTCTTATCTGAATCTTTATTTGCATTTCCAGTGTCCGCACCTAACCAGGCCCTTATCACTCACACCTAGACCACTGCACGAGACTCTAAAACGACTTCCAGAACAGGTATGACCCTCCTCCTATTTAATTTGCTCCCTGTGGGGCGCCTGGGTGGCTTAGTCGGTTAAGCGTCCGACTTTCGCTTGGGTCATGATCTCGCGGTTTGTGGGTTCGAGCCCCGCGTCGGGCTCTGTGCTGACTGCCAGCTCGGAGCCTGGAGCCTGTTTCGGTCTGNCCTTACTAGTCCTTACCTTTCTAGGTTCGTGGTGTCCTAAGTGTGTCAATATTTTTCATGGCATCTTGGGGCGCCTGGGTGGCTTAGTTGGTTAAGCGTCCGACTTTCGCTTAGGTCATGATCTCACGGTTCGTGGGTTCAAGCCCCGCGTCGGGCTCTGTGCTGACTGCCAGCTCGGAGCCTGGAGCCTGTTTCGGTCTGTGACTCCCTCTCTCTCTGACCCTCCCCTGCTCACGCTGTCTCTCTCCCTCTCTCTCTCCTAGAAATAAATAAAACATTAAAAAAATTTTTTAATTTGCTCCCTGACACCAGATTCATTTTCTCATGACCATTCCCGTGGTTCTGTCACTTCTCAAAGTGGATTTTCAGTAGAAAGCCTCAGTGTGGCCCTTTAGAATTGGGCTATAATATTTCTTTCTTGTCTCCTTTCCTACTCCTCTGAACGGCAGCCAAATCCGGTTGGCCTTCTATCGCCCAAACACATTCTGGGCCTTTCCACCTTATCAGCCAGGATCTCTGGGAAACAGTTGGCACACTCAAACATGTTATTAAGAAGGGTATAATGAAATAACTATTTGCAAAGGTGTGGGCAAGGCTAAGAGAAACCAACGAGAGGGTGAAACATTGATTCAAGGCCCGAGAAAGCAACGAGAGGACATGATTACCAGAACCCTGAGACAGAGCCGTAGCTGGGGGCCACCCCACAGGGAGTCACGGCTTTGGGCTGAGCAGTACCCCCAAGTGGAAGCTAGAGGACAAGAGCGGCGAGTTGATGCCTCACAGGTCAGCTGTCGGGGCTCCGAGCGGGGCAGAGAAGGCTGGAATGAGGTGTGCAGGGAAGTCACCATATCGTTGATTCATTTACTTCTGCTCCTCCCTCCTCTTGGCGCACCCTCTCCTAGCGTTTCCACGTGTCAAAATGCTACCAGTCTTTTCCCTTCTGCTCAGATAGTTTCTGTCCCACCAAGCTTTCATTGATTACTCTTTGTCTCATCAAAACACCTAAAGTGTTTGGCTCATATTGATTACGTTGTACTATTGTCACTAAAGCTAAGGGTAGTTAGAAGTGTACACGTCATTCTCTTACTAGCTCCAGAAGGGATACATCCTAGACCTTTGTGTTTTCCTCCACACTCAGTACATTTTTTTTGGAATGAATTAAGTCTCCCTTCATTCGTCGTATATGCATCTGGCATATAGAGGTATTGAATAAATCTGTTCATCTTTTAAGGCAAATATTACTGCTGTGGTCTGAATGTCTGTGTTCCCTCCAAAACTCATCTGTTGCAATCCTACCCCCCAAAGGTGATGGTATTAGTTGGTGGGGTCTTTGGGAGGTGATTAAGTCATTAGCCTTCAGGAATGGGATTATTGCCTCGTAAAACAGGGTCCAGAGAGATCTAGAGCCTCTCCTAACATGTGAGGACATAGAAGAAAAGTCCTCACCAGCCATGCTGGTGCCTTGGTTTTGGACTTCCCAGCCTCCAGAACCATGAGAAATAAATTTCTATTTATAGGCTACCCTGTCTGTGGTATTTCATAGTAGCCCGGAAGGACCAAGACAATTACTGAGATCCTTCATTGTGGCGAGTGCTGTGCTAGAACTTGGGACTAGAGCAGTGACCATGTTGCATGGGGTTTTTGCACTGATAGGGCTTACTTTTCAGGGGAATGGAGTACATAGTATCGCTCTGTCCCCTATTATTATCCCTCCTGAAATGCGCTGATCTTAACCATGGCCCAACATCCAGCCCAGGTCCCACCTGCTCTAGTCCCTCCAGCCCAAATCAATTCTGTAAGTCATGTTACCTTCCTAGCCCTTCTTGGAACTTTCTTGTGGTCACTCAGTCATTTGTTGGCATTTTGATGTATCTTTTTTTTTTTTTGCAGAGAGACTGAAATCTCCTGGTGGTTTTGGACTCTGGTTCTAGGTTCTGGTCTTATCTATCCCCACTCATTCTTGTCATCCCCCGGGATGGTCAGGATAGTTGGTGGTAGCAGGTGGAAAACCTCTATAGTCTACCAAGAGGGTGGCTCTAAACTCTCTGGCCACCTCCGTAGGAACAGTTGCCAAAAAAATTTGGTACCTTTATTTTCTACACATGCACCCTCTCTGGGTTAGTGGAGGAGTGTTAGGATTGACTTCCAAAAATCCAAGTTTACATTCAAGTTCTTAGATTTAACTAGAATGTTACTTCACTTCCCTGAGCCTCAGTTTCAGCGTCTATAAATGGGAATAACAACACCTTTATCTTGAGATGGCTGTGAAAATTAAGTAAGATGATTGTTAGTTTCCTATTGCTGCTGTAACAGACCACCATGGACTTGGTGGCTCAAACAATACAAATTTCTGTTGCTACAGTACTGTGGTTCACAAGTCCAACATGGGCCTCACTATAAAATCAAAGTGGCCACATTCGTTTTGGAAGCTCCAAGGCAGACCCTTTTGTTTTGTTCTGTTTTTCTTTTCCAGCTCCTAGATGCTGCCTGCATCTTTGGTTCATGAACCCTTCCTCCATTTTCAGAGCCAGCAACTTTATATCTCTCTGATCTGTCTTCCAAGAGTCATGCCTACCTTCTGGCCACAGCTAGGAAAGGTTCCTCACTCTTGAGGATCCATCCCATCCATACACAGGCCCACCTGTATCATAATGCAGACCACTTTCTCTGTTTCAAGGTCCTTAACTCCAGTCACATCTGCAAAGTCCCCATTTGCTTGAAATGTAACATATTCATAGATCCCAGGGGTTCTTTGGTAGGGGGGATTATTCTGCCTACCACAGTTCATACTCTGGCTCCCCCAAATTCAGGCTTATCCCATCTGCAAAGTATATTCACTCCAAGGTCCCTGAAAAGGTCAGCTATTAGAGTATTAACTGTGGCACAGAATCCAATTTGAGTCTCATTAGCTCCAAAGTCTCAATTTCATCTACTGAATAATCTAAATTATGTATGAGTGAGGCTCTAGGGATGATCCATCCTAGGGTTCAATTCCTGTTCATCTGTGGGCCTGTGAAACTAAAGAAACAAGTTATCTGCTCCCAAAATACAGTGGTGGAGGAGGCAGAGGATAAAAGTTATATAAGGATAGGATAAAGGTTCTGCTTGTAAAAGGGGAAGAGTGGAAGGAAATAAAGGAGTCACTTGGTCCCAAGACATTGTTAAAATCCAGTTGGACAAATTCCATTCGGTTTCAAGACCAGGGAATAATCATCTGCAGCTCTTGGTTCCACCCACTGGGCCATCCTTGCTTTGTCATGAAATTTGGCATGTGCTTACCACTAAGTAGTCCTAGCTCATTTTTGCTGAACATTTCTTCCCTTGGTTTATCTCTTTTCTTTCATATTTTCCTAATTGCAGGAAGAAGAAATCTGGCTGCACCTTTAACACTTCGCTTGGAAATTTCCTCAGCTAAATGTTCAGTCTCCTCTCTTACAAATTCTCCTTTTCACATAACTGTAGGACAGAATTATCTTAAGCTTTCTGCCCCTCTAAAACAAGGATCCTTTTCCTCCAGTGTTCAATAATATGTTCCTCACCTCATGTTAAGCCCTCACCACCAGAGCCTTTAATGTTTGTATTTCTACTAATTTGTCTGTTCGTGATGGTCTAGGTGGTCTTTAAGGTGATTTAATTTTTTTCTCTCCTGTGCTCCTTACTTCTTTCTGAATCTTACCCAACATGGTTGTTGACATTCATACTTTTACAGTATGTTCAAGATTGTGTAGACTTTTTTTACCATGCTCTTCAAAATTCTTTCAGCCCCCATCCATTGTCCAGCTCCAGTGTGGCCCAAAGTAGAGAGAATTTGGGGAGGAAATACCCCAACGACTCTTTACACTCTCTTGGATCTCTGGCTTACACTTAATCACCAACAAAACCATCCAGAAGGTAGAGAGCAAGGGAGTCTAGGTGATGTTGTCAGCAGCTCAGGGCCTGAACTGGGCAGAAATGGGTGTGGGATGAATGGAGGGGATGGTGAGGAATCAAGAATAGCACAGAAGTTTTAAAAAATGGTTAAGGGCTCAAACCATTGATCTGATTCATGTTATGCTAAGAAAGCTTTTTTTTTTTTTTAAATATTACTCAGCTTTGATGCCAATGTCCGCTTAAAATTTCTTCTAGCTTGAGGCGCCTGGGTGGCTCAGTCAGTAAGCGTCCAACTCTTTTTTTTTTTTTTTTTTTTTTTACAAATAGTTTATTGTCAAATTAGTTTCCACATAACACCCAGTGCTCATCCCCACAAGTGTCCTCCTCCATGCCCATCCCCCGCTCCTCCCCACATCCATCAGTCCTCAGTTTTTGTCAGCATTCAAGAGTTTCTCATGGTTTGCCTCTCTCCCTTTCCCCCACCATTTCCGCCCTTCTTCTCCCCCTTGTTCCTCCGTCAAGTTCCTCCTAATCCTCCTATACGTGCAAACATATGGTATTTGTCCTTCTCTGCCTGACTTATTTCGCTCAGCATAACACCCTCAAGGTCCATCCATGT